CCCACATCCCTCAGTGCTTCTCCTGTGGCTGCCAATCATGCAGCAGGTAAGAAAATGTAAATTCTAGCATGCATAAGCCATTCAGAATGGAAATTTTCAAAAATATGGTGGGTGGCAGACAGTAAAACTGGCAATTGCTTTCATTTTCTGACAAAATTCCATGGTGATTTAGGCCTCCAAGGGTATTATTCATGCTTGGTATTGGGTAATCTTCAGTACTGGGGAAGCAGGAGGTGAATGTCAAGCACTGAGTTGTCCTCTTACATTTATTTGTGAATTGGGAGTAATGGTACCAAGGTTAGGCTCCTGTGGATGTGTAGTAATGAGCCTAATTTACATGTGATGGCTTCACTTAAGATGTTATATAGTGCTTTCACTTAAGGTGTTATTTAGTGCTTTTTTCCCCCTTGGATTTCTTGCAACCTTCCTTCTCTTAAAACAGTTCCTCCCCATGTACTCTCTGAGCTGTGGTGCTGAAGCCAACAGAGATTGTGGTTCTGTGGTAGAACATGATGTGCAATTTCTGCCCTGTGCTAGCTGGACTGGTGTCTGACAGGCCAGCATTTCTTAAAATGTGTTACACAGGTACAGGAAGTGAGTGGTGAGGAGAAAATTATGCCCATTGCTTTATCTTTCATGGGAGGGGAAGAAACCAAACTTCTAAGGAAAAGAAAGTGGGAACTAGCTCAAAGACAGACACTAGCTCCCTGAAGTGGAAAGCTTATCAAAGCTCCTTCCAGGTTTTCTTGGTTCCTTGGTTTTTTGTTCCATAGTGACCTTGACTATGGGCTAGTGGTTAGAACCTGAGATGCCTTGAGACACTAGTTCAAGCTAGGAGGTGTTTGGAATATTAGACAATAGGCTGGTTTTCTGTCCAGGAGGTGTGGATATTCCTCCTTTACATCATGTTTTCCATGCTTTGCTTTGATGGATGGCTTTGTGAACATCAGCCTGTCTCAGCTTTTCAAGTCTAGGCTTCAAGAACTGGTGTCTGATCTTCCTAGAGCAAGCCCTAGGAATACTCAAGGAAGCTATCTGAGCCTATTGCATTGTCTTTCATCATTTCCAAAACACAGATTTGACCTTAGTAGGATGAGGTAGTGTGTGAGAACTGCCTCTTTTTCTTTTTTTTTTTTATTGTAAGACCATTTTCCATTAATTCTCTATTACCTTGCCATTCTGAGTTTAAATCTTAAAGCTGTACTTAAAGTACCAAAGGAGGTTTAGCCACACAATCACCATTTGGCATGGGAAATTGAATGGCTAAGCCCCTGCATATATACAGTAGGCTGTACACTGCTGAGTAGATTGTATAATTGTTTATCATACATTAAGCAACCAATTGCTGATTTATGTACATATGTAGGTTCATCCTTTACCAATTTCCTGTGACTGATAGCTTCCAGGAGATTAAAAGAATAGCCGGTTCCTGTTTCTTTCTCTTCTCTTTATTTTTGTCCTTTAGCAGGAATATTTGTGTGTGTGTGTGTTTAATAGCATTCGTTCCCTAGAGAATAATCTCAGTCTTTGTTTTAGCTGGCCTCCTTCTGAGAGTGTGTTAAATCTGTAGCCAAGATCACAGGCAGCTCTGGGCAAATCATTGGGCTGTTATTAACCTGCCTCCATGGCAACTGCTGCTCACCAGCCTGAGGACAAAAAATGTTTTTATTCTGCTGAGTTGCACAAAAGGTTCTAGTGATGCCTTGCACAAAATGGCCATTGAAAGGGAAGATGCAGTGATGTGTGTTTGCGCTGTACAGTTTCATATTTAAATCGTTCTACACTGTTTCATTGGAAGTGGATATAGAGCTGAACAGTTCAGTGTTTTGGACATATGGAAAGTAAAAACTAGCAGAAAATTGGAGGTGAACTCATTTTAATACTACTTATTTTTGTTGGCTTGAGTTCACAGGCCTTCAGCCTGCAGTTGTCATCAGAGTGTTAGCAAGTTATTTTGTGAACATGAACTAGGTAAACATTTTCCTGGGGTTTCAGTTGCACTGCGTGAAGATAGTTGCTGACTTTGAGTTACAAAGAGAGAACATAAAGGTTTCCTGGAAAGCTTTCTGATTGTTTTCAGAAATCTCTGCTTTGCTTCAGTGCTTCTGTGGGAAGTTTGGTAAGCATATCTTAGTTCTTGATGAGCTTCAGATTGTAGCTGGTTTTGAAAGCTGCTCTTAGCAGTACTGTTTTAGGCTTGTGTAAAAATTATAAAATTGGCCATATTGCTCAGGCTAGGCATGGCTTTAATCTGCTGATAAAGAGTGTTCACAGTGGGATCTGGGAGGGAGGTCTGGCAGCCCTAGCACTGCGATGAGGTTGTATCCTGCAGTTAGTTACCCTCTGGCAGGAGGCTGTGAAGTTCTGCTGTCAATTTGGGTGCAGAATGACTATGGATGGATGGATGCTGTCTCTTGGAAACCTGTTGGTTTGGGATGCTTCATGTGCTTGCAAGCTGGCTGTGTGCTGTTTCCAGGTGTATCAAAGACTCTCATTCCTGCTTTAGTCTTAGGGTCAAGGTGAGTAGTTCCTGCAGTTCCACATTTGGACAGTTCTCTCTGCTCAAAATAATGTGGTTGCTTTAGACACCTCTGGGGGTGTCCCTTGGCTTTGCTCTGCACCGAGAAGATGAAGGCCACCCAAATTCTGTGATGCTTTTTTACTTTGACTGCAGAGGAAGACAAAGAGTAAGGCCACAAAGATAGTCTGTGCATCTGCCAGCTGCTAGAGAGGTGAGAGGGGGTCTGCCACTGTTGCCTTGTGTTCAAGGGTCTGTGGATTAGTGGTAGAAACTGTCATGCGTTTGGGTAAGTGATCCAACAAACTCCTCAGGGCAAATGTTATGCCAGTGGCCTGGAAAACTGGCTTGGAGGAGTGGGGCATTAAACATCAGTCCTGGGTCTAAACCAGTCTTTAGTTTTGTTAGGCTGCTCCCGTTTTTTGAAACCAACAGCTTTTCTTTTGGATCTTGTCAGTCTCTTGGTTTTGTTTCCAGCTGTTTTTATTTCCTGTCTTTGATAGGATCCTTCTGCAAAGCAGTCTGTGGGATCAGCACAATTTAGGTCATCAGCCTCTCCACACTAAGCAATGATGAGGTGTTGGGTCTCCTGCTTTTGGAGCATGGCTCAAAAGGTGGTTTTGTGCTGGGCTGTGACCACACGTGTGTTGTCTGCTGGGTCAGAGCATGGTTACTTTTGGATAATCTTTCATGGCTAATCCTGCACCAGGTGCATGCATTTCTTGGATTAACTCTGGGAGGTTTGGACCTGACCTGGGAGCAGATGCTGCGGAGGCGAGCCAGCCTCACGTGTATGGCTGCTCTTGCGTGTGAGTTGTTCTCAGGCAAATTCCCCAAAGCAGAGGATTGCTCTGCAAGGTTTGTTGTCTGAACTCAGCTCTGAACCTCTGTGATAAAATGAAACCCAGAGACGATTTCCTCTGATAGTGTGCATTTGGATTTTGTTTGGCCTGTCACTGCTGAGCTGCAGTGTTTTTCATTTGGCAGTATTTTTGTCATGAAGATAGTTCCTACTGAGTGGACTCCAGCTGTGGACTAGACTATAAAACCTTCCCAGCCTTGTTTCTATACAATTAGATCTTGTCTGCAGTTAGTGAAGTGGTGTTTTGTAAGTAATTTTGATGGTGATAGCTGCTTAAGCTTGACTAGGGCATTTGCTGTGACTCTCTAAAAGAAGAGTTTCTCTCTTATGAAATGGGAAATCTTTCAATTATCGGATGCAGATTATTCCCCAATGTCTCATGGAAGTGCCTGCTCTGCAACTCATTCATTAGTGGGAATGGGAGGGGGGTAAAAATAAACTTGCTTCATGTGGTGGCTGGAGACTTGCTGATCTTTGTGAGGAAATTTTTGGGTGGGAAGATGTGATGTCCTCATTTGCCAGCTGTCTCCTTGCCTTCAGATGCTTTGTCCATGTAGCGCCTTGCCGTAGCAGCAGTGGCTGTCCTGCGACGCTGGCCGCTCCATTAAGCGTTGTCTTAATGGCTTGTGCTTTGCGCAGTTGTATGAAATGCACATTAATGGAGACAGCTTAATGCCATCACCCTGAAGTAATGAATTGGTATGGATTGCCATTACCATTATAGCGCAGTTAAAAGCTGTGTTTGTTTCCGATTTACATTTCCCAGCTCTGTAAGCAGATGGGTTTTCAGGCCACGCAGTTGGAAGGAACCTGGCAGTTCAGCTGCAACCTCCTTATTACAGTGTTCATACAAATAGCAGCTCTGGGGGGGTGTTTTGTTAACTCAGACAAGTTAAACAATGCATTTCAGTTGATCATGCTACTGCAAACTCTATTCAGGGATCACTGTAAATCCAGGGTATCCTATAAAAAGCTGGAAATGTATTGCCTACGTGCAGTGCAGTTTCATACAGCTGCCCTCGACAAAAATTGTTACTCTTTGGACCCCATTCAATTTTTCCTCTATAACCTCATGTGGATTTATATAAAAAGATAACTTGGGAGGCCTGGGAGATGGTGGGATAGTTAAGTTTTATGGACCTAAATGTATTCATCTTCCAATGAAAGTGCAAATTATCTCCTGCTTTTCCAAAAGGCTTCATTGTCTTGAATATTTGCCTCTCTGGCTCCCCGAGTGTTGCCATCATAGCTGGTGCTCCTGCCATTAGTAAAGCTGAAAGATGGTGAGCTCTGGATGAGTAGCTGAATTGCAATGGATCACTTTAGACAGTGATTTTTTTGCTTTTTCCATTTCATAGGCTGTCCCATCGATCTCTTGATCCTGTAAAGACAGGAGCACTCAGCCCACTTTCTGGGCTTTGAGTCCATACCAACAGATCTGTAGGTCACTGCTTTAGAGGGTGATGCTGTCTTGTACCACCTATAGATTTTTTTGCTTAGCATGTCAATGCCTGGGCCTTTTATTCCCTGTGGCTTTTACCAAGTGGAGGACAAATATTCTTCTCCTCATAATTTGCTTTTTGCTCATGACGTTTCTTTTGCTTTCTCTCTTCTGCTTAGGTTGCTTTGAATGTTGCATTAAGTGCCTAGGAGGAGTGCCATATGCTTCGCTCGTGGCAACCATTCTCTGCTTCTCGGGGGTAGCGTTGTTTTGTGGCTGTGGCCACGTGGCGCTCACGGGAACCGTGTCTATCCTCGAGCAGCACTTCTCCACGACTGCCAGTGACCATGCTTTGCTGAGTGAAGTGTAAGTATGCCTCCCTTTCCCATTAGTCATCGTAACACCCTCATGCTAAATGAGTAGAGATGGATTCAAACCTCGGTCTCCATTCCTGAGTATTAGGTTGCTTGTTTTTGTAACAGCACTCCATCCTTTACTGGTATTCACATACAAAGAGCCAGTGTGTATCCTAGTACACCTATTTATATTGGGACCAGTGCTATTTAATATCTTCATCAGTACCACAGACAGTGGAACTGAGTGCACCCTCAGCTGCTTTGCAGATGACACCCAAGCTGAGTGGTGCAGTTTGCTCACCTGAAAGGAAGGATGCCACCCAGAGGGAGCTTGAAAGCCTTGAGGGGTGGGACTGTGTGAACCTCATGATGTTCACCATGGGCAAGTGCAGGGTGCTGCACATGGGTCAGGGCAGTGCCCAGTATCACTACATGCTGACAGATGAAGGGATTGAGAGCAGCCCTGCCAAGAAGAACTTGGGGGCGCTGTTGGATGAAAAACTGAATGTGAGTTGGAAATGTGCACTCGCAGCCCAGGAAGCCAGTTATATCCTGGGCTGCATCCAAAGCGGTGTGACCAGCAGGGTGAGGGAGGTGTTTCTGCCCCTCTAGTCAGGTGAGATCCCACCTGGAGTGCTGCATCTGGTCTGGGTGTGCTCAGCATGGACCATGTTGAGCCCATGGACCTGTTGGAGCGACTCAGAAAAAAGCCACTGAGATGATCAGAGGGCTGGAGCACCTCTGCTGTGAGAGTTGGGGCACCAGCACCAGGCTGAGAGAGTAGGGGCTGTTTAGCCCAGAGAAGAAAAGGCTCTGGGGAGACTTTACAGCAGCCTTCCATCAACTAGAGGGACCTACAATAGAGCTGAAAAGCGACTTGTACCAGGGCTTGTTGTAACAGAACAAGGGGTAATGATTTTAAGAGCAGATTTAATTTTTGTTGGTGACATAGAGTTGGAAGGGATGTCAGGAGTAATATGGGAGTGTGGTTCTTTCCATCCCTCTTCAGAAGAAGCTGGACTGGTATATGAATAAAAAGACAAAAAAACCCGGAAAGATCTGCAAATGTAGCCTTTGGACATAACCACTGGTGAAATATTTGGGTCTTTTATGTTCCCAAGGCTTCTCTGAGGCCAGAGGAAGGCCTGAAGTGCTGCCTCGGATTCCCAGGCAGCCAGCCTGGCCGTGTGTGGCTGTGATGGGGGTCCCTCTGACAAGCAATGTGGGCTTGGCACATACAGGAGTGCATGGGTATCAGGGTCCTGCGCAGCACACTTAATTCTTATTTTAATTTCTGTTGTCACTGACTCCATGTATATGCTTGCAGGCATAGACCTGCCAGTTTGCTGCATGCCCTCTGAGCACCGGTGCCAGTCCCACAGCACCATTTCAGGACTCCCCCTGTCCACAGGACCCTCTGTACCCTGACCTGCTCTGGGACTGCTCCCCACTGAGGTCCCCACTTCCAGCACTGCCCACACTCAGTCCCAGGCTGTGGTCGGCAGTGTGTCCCCAGCTCCAGGGCATGAGGCACCAGGGCCCTTCAGTTAGACATAACATTTAGTGAGAAAATGCAAGCAGCTGTTCTTCAGCATCTGGGTAACAAAATACCCTGTGCTTGCATCAGTCTCCATTTAAGCAAAATAGAAGAAATTGCAAAAGCAGCAGTCATAGGCAGCAAGTTTTATGTTTTGGAGAGTTGTTGACAATGTTTCTTGTCATGTCAGCAACAGCAGTTGGGAAAATGCATAATTCCTACCAAAGCAGCTCAGGGCTCAGCTCTGTGGAGCCAAGGGGGAGGCAAGGGAGAAGAGGTGTTATGAAGGGGCAAATTTAAGGCTATAGCAACATTTAATAAAAAGAAAAAAACTAGTAAGACACCCTTTGGAATAGATTTTTTAACCGTTTTTCCTATCACTAATTTCTGGTAGCAAGCCTTGAGTCTCTCCTGGACTGTTAATGATGGTGAAATGATTTCTTCTATACTCTCTCAAATCCCGAGTTAATTTTTTCATTCTTTACAGCACATGTGCAACAGATTTATCCAGTTATTTTTAATCAGTTTGGAAAACAAAGATAACACTTTTCACATAAAATTTGGAAAGAGCAATATCCTGTTTTGATACAAGGGTAACATTTACTATATAAGTCGTAGTCATCAATATTCTTTAAGCTAAAACATTCAGATGCTCTTTGGAGATTTATGCCAGCAGCTACTTAGTGGAGAGTGGCAAGAATCAGAAAAAAATATCTTGAGCAAAGCATATTTATCCTCAGAAAACTGGTAGTGTGGTCGTATAAAATTAACCTCCTGGTTCTGTGAATAGTTTCATCCAAAATAACCATCCCAACAATTAAATCTTAAGAAGTTCTGGGGAAATCGTGCTAATAACAAAATATGACTTTTGAAGACCAGGAGTGTTGTATGGAAGATCTGGCATTCTGTTCCTCCAAAACAATTAGCTTTTATCAATCAATCTGATTGATAATATTTAGAAATTATTCTTTTCATCTTCCTATTCTAGCTAAAGGAAAAATACTGTTGTTAGTGCGTCATTACAGATGGTAGATTTTTAAGAAATCAAGAACTTTCTCCAAGAACATCTGAGGGAAGTGCTTATACCATGTGCTCTGAGATGATCTTACTGTGAGTGGTTCCAGAGGAAATGGAAGCATTTCCTAAATAACTCTTCCATTAAAAAAAATAAAAAAAAAAAAAAGAAAAATTAACATTTTGAGGTGCTTAGTACTGCTGTGACTTAAAGCGCTGAAACTACCAGCTCACTTGGAACCCTTCCAGGCTGTAGAGCAGCCTCAGGAGAAGTCACTGCATGTTTGCTGAGTCGTGCGTCAGACAAATATTGCTGAATTCAGAAATTTTTGCAAACTTAAGTTAATCGGATTTCACAGGTGGAAATGGTGAATTTCAGGGACTGCTTCCTTTCCCTAAGCCAAAGGAATGACCACAGAGCCTGATAGTTCAGTCAGGGGTTCAGCTTCAGGCTTTGCCACTTCAAAGCCCTGCATTGTCAGCCATTCCCAAGTTAGGTGTCAGGAGCAGTAAGAGGAAGAAGAAAACCTCCATAGTGGAGGGGTGAAACTGCAGCTTTAACATGATGATTAACACCTGTCAGTGAAAGGACTGCAGCACCAACAGTGGATGCTCAGGTGGGTGCAGGACTAAAGCACATCAGGATCACTTACCTGGGAAGGAGCACAGTTTTAAGAGTGTTTTCCTGCAGTCTGCTTGCTTAAAATGCAAAGGAGCCTTGAACTTCTAGGAGCTGTCTCTCATTTATTATAATTTAAGAGGATTGACTTTGTTTTTATTGGACTGAAATTAATTATATAATTTCTTTATTTTCTGTTTTAGAATACAGCTAATGCAGTATGTAATTTATGGCATTGCATCATTTTTCTTCTTATATGGGATAATCCTTTTGGCGGAAGGTTTTTATACAACAAGTGCTGTGAAGGAGCTGCATGGAGAGTTCAAAACAACAGCCTGTGGCCGCTGCATCAGTGGAATGGTGAGTGGGATCAGAAATGGGAACAGCAGTCTTTGCTGGCCAAAACCTGTCTGGCTTGGTTTGACTTCTGGGTTTTGAATAATTGCTGCCTTCTTTGTTTAAGTCCTTGTGGGTGATCGGGGTCAATCCGTGTCTTGGTTCTTCTTTGAACTTCAAGGGTGCTTGGTTAAATCAAAATACTGCAGAAGGGCTGGGTGGGGGCTGCCATAACCTCTCTGTCATAAAGCTGAACCCACTGGTCTAAACTAAACTGAGGAGACTGCTAATTTTAAAACACTTAATGTGAGCCAAAATGAAATTTGTCGCTTTTAAACATGGAACACTTAAGTGATGCTTAAAGGCAGACTGTAAAATGGCTGTGGTTTGCAGAGCTATTTAAGTATCAAACTGTAATGGCTCTGACTTCCATAGTCAATTGTGCTTGAGTGTCTGGATGCTTCAACAAACAGTAATGAATGAATGAAGCTTCACAACATCTTTGCACTTGAATCAAGTATTGATTTGCAGATGGAAAAAGGCAGACAAGATAGAATAGTGAGGCTTCTTCGCAAAGCTGAAACACGTAGAGCCCTAAAGTTACCAGCCATATTCTCTTCAGTATACTTATGTATTAGAACAAAATTGTAAGCAAAGTTTAACTAAAAATAAAACTTCAGATTCTCACCCACATTGTTCCCAAGGGCACACTCTGCAAGAACAGCCATAACTATGTTTCTGAGAGAAGATTTCAAAGCTATTACTGAAAATCTGAATTCAAAGCTCGTAGTTATGGAGGAAGCTAAGCAGTATGACAGATCGCCCACGGGAAAGTGTGGGTGAAAAGAGAAGAGGCTTTTGATGTGATTGTTGCATTTTAATATGCAGTCTATATCCTGAACTTAAAAAATATGTACTTTCAGCTGGTTAAATACAAAAGAGATGCATGTTTATTTTCATGAGGGTTAGCAATTTTCCACTGTGCTGTTGGGTACTTACTGAATTTTTCAAGAGCTAATAAAAATAAGGCATCTGATAATTTTCCAGTTAAACAGCTATTTGCTCAGTTTTTTTCTATAAAGTGTGGTCTTCACTAAGGAACAAAATTAGATCTAAAGCAGTGTTTTCTAAAGATCCAAAATAAAGTAGAAACATACACATCCATGCATCTCATCAGTGCAGACAATTGCTTGTGCAGTTGAGTAGTTGCAGACACATGATTGTCAGCTTATACAAATACCAGTGTGACACATGGAAATACGGCAGAAAACCATGTTTTTATGTTTGTCCATATTTGTCCACACAATGAAGGAGAGAATTTACCAGCTGAGGAATGGCTTGGAGCTCTGGTAAGCTGCATTAATGCTTGGTTCTTACAGGAAAAGTGCCTGTATGCTGCTGTGTAAAACCTTAGGGCTAGAACAAGGTTTGTGAGAAGATAAAATATTTAACAGACTTAAACTGTTACTTAAACTTAACAGACTTAAACAAACTGCAGTTTAGTGACTGCAGCTGGGTACAGGCAACAGGCTTTTGGACATACAGTGACATTTTGCCACTTTGATCAAGAGCTCCTCTACTTCTTTCATTACATTACTGAGCAAAGTCCTGAAAGGCAGTCCCATCTTGCATATGGTTGTTAAAGAAGACAGATTTCCATCTTCCCTAAATTATTTGTGTTGGCTCTGGTAATGCAGAATAGCCATTTCCCACAGTTACTACATTAAATGTGAGAGTGAGTATATTTTTTTCCTGTCTATTTTAGGACTTAAAGGCTTTGTGCACTTCCTGTCATGCACACTTCCACGTATGCAAACTCATGATTTATTTGTAGTGATCTTCAGAAAGTCTTTAACTTGGTCCACTTGGTCCTTCCCAAAACCCAAAGAGATGATTTTCAATTCTCACAAAAAAAAAAAAAGGTCTGGTATATGGCGCTATCTAATATGAAATAGGGTATTCCAGTTGAGTTGTCTATAAATTAAAATTCAGCTGGGGTTTTATGTGCCATAGTTTTGCCAGAACTTCCACCTCCCCACACAGCACCTGCCTTGGCTGAAACCTAGCTGTTGTTCAGCTTTTGCTCTAACACTTGCAGGATTACTCTGGAGAAAACCTGTGGGGATGCAAACTTCCACCAGTGCCCATTAGTTCAGTCCCTTGGTTCTGGGTCAGGCTAACAATCCTTCCCCCTGAGAGCCTTTTCCATCCTTGCTGTTGTCCTTTGGCACACGAATTTTAAGTAAGATAGTAGAGCACCAGTGCTTTACTGAAAGTAAAGCCTTTCCAGTCCACCTACAGCTAAGAGCTAACAGTGAAAAGAGAGCCCAAGAGATGTAACAGCATTCCCCCGCCTTCCAAGTGGGATCCAAATCCTATTCTCACCAAGAGGAGGGAGCTAGGAACTGATGCCAGAGCTACTGTTTCACCAGAACACTTAGAAGAGGAAGGAAAAGAGGGAAAGGGGCTTAGTGAGAGGAGAAAGCTGGATATTTTCAAAGCAATCAATGCTACATTTTTTAATTTAACCAAAGACAATGCACGTAATGTAGGGGTTTTTTTAAAGAGCAAACCCAAACCAGCAAATTTTAGTGGATAAATCCATGATTCTCTAAGGTGAAGTAATTAATTTTATGCTTGGTAATGTGTATTAGACCAATTGAATCCTTCTGATCTGCTGTTAATGGTCATGGTATGTTTGCAAAAATAGGCATTTTCAAATGTTACATTCCAAATTGATTTCAATACATCAGGGAGTGTGGGGGAGCTCTGTGAGCATTGATTCACTGTGTGGTTTTGATTTGCAAGTTGTATAGAAATGCTAGTATGTTACAGTTAATTTAAAAAAACCCCTTAAATCGATTTTTGCTGGAACTTATTGGTTTTAGCCTACAACCAGCATCCCTGCTTAGCTGAGAATCTTGAGAAATCAATGGGCTGCTCTTTCATGAGGGCAGTCTGTTTACTCAAGCAGGCTGATGAAAAAGGAAATGTCTGAATTACTCTCTCTGTAGCACTTAAGCTACCAAAGTATTTGTAAGCAATGAGAATACTGATTTTGTGTGTTTGAAAATCAAATATTTTCTTACTTGAATTCTGCAAGCATGCTTAAGATTATTTTGAAGCGTTTTTAAGGAAAATGTAAGTAGTCTTTTCAAAGAATAAACACAAAGTGTTTGTGTTTTCTCTGCCCAGTTTGTTTTCCTCACCTATGTCCTTGGAGTGGCCTGGCTCGGGGTCTTCGGCTTCTCTGCTGTGCCTGTCTTTATGTTCTATAACATATGGTCAACTTGTGAAGTCATCAAATCTTTTCAGACAAATGTGACAGTTCCAGGGGACCAGATCTGCGTGGACATCAGGCAATACGGTACTCGTTTTAATCCTGATTAAATGCTTTAGCCATTCTCTTTGGTCTGTCTTCAGTAGTTTTGTCTCAGCCTTATCAGATGAATCAAATGCAAAAGCATCTTCTATATCTGAATGTGCTATTACTTTTCTAATTAATTCACATTACACTGATCTCTTTCCAGATGCAATCAATTTAACTGAACTGACAAGTCACTGATCTGAAATGATTTTGTAGCGGTTTCCAATACTGTAATATTAGGTTTGAAAATAGATCAGCCTCAAAATAAACTGCTTGGAAACAGTGTGGAGAAATAGATAACCAGATTGTGGGTTTTGAACCCATATGCATATAATCTGTTCTTTCAGAAAGCTGTTTTACATTTAAAGATGGAGTAGATGTCTGAATGTTGCTCTGACAATTACTTTTAGTTAAAAAACCAAAAATGTGCAATTAAAAGTCTTCCATAACTAATAATGAATTAATACTGCTTTCTGATGGCATGCAGAAATCTGAGGGATAGTAACTTAAAAGAAGGTCAGGCTTTTCATTCATTAAGGTGAATTTTTCCTGAAGTTAATGTTTTCAGCTTCCCCTGTGCAGAAGACCTTTCGTCACCATTACTTTTGGCTTCATTCTAGCTAGCATTTTCTAGGAATGTTTCTTTCTTTGGACTAAGTCATTCAAAGCTGAGAAAATGGATTCAAAGTTGAAAAAGTAAGAAAGCTTGGCTTTGCTCTCCTGTCCAGGTAAGTGCAGTAGAAGAAAAGATACACGAATTTTTAAAGCAACTCTTCAAATCAGTTAAACATATACATTCTATTTTAGCAGCTCACAGCAAGAGGCTGGGAAGACATTTTCTTCAGCAGCAAAGCCTAGGAGTGAAGGGAGATGTGCTCCTCCACCTTCCTGCTTCTCCTGGTTGTTCTGCAGCTCTGTTAGTCCTGTATAGGGCTGTATTGTTCCCCTGATCAGTAAAACCATTTGGGTTTCAGTGTGTGATGGGAGAGAGCAGCTCCCTAACAGACAACACATGTCACTGAACTTTCCTCACATATTTTGGGTGGAAGCAGTAGCTGGAAGGCTGGAATTGTACGTAGCAGTTGCAGAGAAGCAGCTTTTATAGGAAGAAAATCCTATGAAATCTTTTTGAAAGCCATGCCATTCTGAGATAATTTCAATGACAATGCTTATAGAGTTGCTAATTCCAACCAGCTGGGTTGAAATGCAAAGTTGTATGGAGAAACAAACTGTTTCTCTTAATTCAAATAGGTTTTGCTTAAGCTTCACATCTATTACAGGCCTAAAATTTATGTTATTGTAAATCTGCTAGATTCTGTTGACTTTTCAGACTTTCAATCATATAAGAAAAGTAACTGGGAGTATCTGAGGTATGACAGACTAAACTTTCTTGTAGCACTGTTCACTTGATGCTTTTTACCTACTGGAACTAAACCAGATAAAAAAAAAATCCTGTAATTCTTCCCTCTAGTTCTATATTCACACCCTTCCACAGTAGTTTCTTGTTCAAGCAGAACCTCATCTAGTAAGTGCTACCCTGAAAGGTGCCAAGTACCTCTGAGATGCAGATTCTTTCTTCTGTGCTGAGTGGGGGAGTAGGCAGAGTGTGCAACTGGACCCAAAGTGCAAAAACCCAACCGTTTGGCTGCCAGATGGGAAAAGCTCATCTGAGAACATGCCTTAGCAGCAGCCCTCAGTGTGAGCAGAAAGCATAACCTGAGGGAGTTGTTTGAATTCCTGCTGCCAGCTCCAAGCTCTACTGGTCAATGCACGGATGCCCAGAATGGGAACACAACTGGCAAGTGGGTGAAAAAGATGAGAGGAATGGAAAGTGTGTGTTGATTGCTAAAATTAGTGGTTTCTTTTCTGTGGTATTTCAGGTATTATCCCTTGGAATGCTGTACCTGGCAAAGCCTGTGGCCCAATTTTAGAGAACATCTGCAACACAAATGAGGTACAGAAATGTAACCTGTGTGCAGCTTTTGGCTGCAAGTCACTTGGGCACCTTGTAATAAATACTTCATGGAAGTTTTTGGAGAGAACTCTTGCTGGTAGTATAAAGAGATTGCTTTAAGTGTAACACTGAACTAATTGTTACATCATCAAAAAATTTATTTTCACAACATTTTTATTTTCTAAAGCTTTGCTACCGTGTTACAAAGATGGTTTTATTATCCTTATTTTCTAGAACACTTGAAATACAATTTATACTATTCCTAATGAATTACTTCAATGTTTTTAACATGTTTTTTTCTCTAGTTCTACATGTCTTACCACCTGTTCATTGTGGCTTGTGCTGGAGCTGGTGCCACTGTCATAGCATTGGTGGGTAGTATTTTTTGTTGTTTTATAATTAAAAATGTTCATTTTAGGCTTAAGATGCTTTAAGATTAAATTTTGTATATATTAAAAGTAGTGATATTAGACATGAATGAGGATGAGCTGTAATCACTATTATTTGCTGCTATGGTTTTGTCATCACAAAGTCAGCAGGTCCCCAACTTTTGCTTTAGGAAGTCATCTTAACCCGCCTCCCCCATACTTAGGAACAAATTATTTGCATGTCCTTTCAAAATCCTACTTCTATCCACTATGTCTGCTTTTATTTCCACTATTTATTTTTGTTTTTGTAGTTTATTTGATCAGCTGCTTGTAACCTCTTGGTTTCCTTTGCCTGCAGCCAGGCAGATTGACTGGTCCAACCCTGCAGTGCCCGTTCCAGGTAGCAGCGGGGAAAAGGGACGTTAACCAGATGCCTTGTTCCTAACGCGTCCTTTAGTGGCCAGCTTCTAACCTCCTGCCAGCCAAGCCCTGGTGTAACACTCACAACTGGCTGACAAAATAGCCTTAGGGTTTGCACTGGGTTGTCCTCCCCAGAGAAATGGCAGGTTATTTATTTGCATCTTCACCATGTAAGGAGCTCAGAGTAACATCTGTTGTAAAATTATCAAGAGTTGCCCAAGTGGGCTCCAGCCGTCACCTTGTTGTATCTTACTCTCCTGTATTTTCTCTTCCACCAGCTGATCTACATGATGGCTACTACATATAACTATGCTGTTTTGAAGTTTAAGAGTCGGGAAGATTGCTGCACTAAATTCTAAATTGTATAAGCCCAGTAAAAAGCTGCATTGCGTAGCTTGAAATACCACTGACACCCTAGACTAAAAGTCTAGCTTTCTGAATTTTGTTACAGTAATTGTAAATAGCTTCAGTAAGCATCGTTTAGCTTATCAAATTAATGAAATGACTTCTTGTATATGAACTATGATGTGGATGAGATCTGGCTATTTTTTCATGTTGAGAGGATTCAGTTACTGTAGGGGTGTTTATAAAGCATCCTTCTGAAAAGGGGATGTTTTCATTTCAGGTCTCCACTTGATTTCTAACAGTCATCTCAAATACTGCAACAGTTCAGGGTCAGATGCATTAATTTATTCTTCACCATGAACACCAAATACAAATCCCCCCAAGCATACAAATTACATATGGTGTGAAAGAAAAGGAATAATAAAGTAGTGCCATTCTACGTTGGCAAAGATCAGAAGCCCAGGTATTATGAATAAATTTCCTTGTGTTTCCAAGTGATTCCATGGATGATGAAATCACTTTCTCTTACTCTTAAGTAAGTGCCAAATGATGCTCTTTCTCTGAGAAAATACATCCTTGTCTTAGCTCTGCGTAAAACAATCACATTCTTTCTTTTGGACCCTGAACTAGCAAGAAACAGCACATAAACAGCTTCTGCTCTTGTATGGCTGCACTTTAGTAACTGATTTCTCAGTAGCCAGATCTCAAAAATGTAAGTATGACTGCACAGGAAGCAAAACCATGCAGAGATCACAGGGACCTTTCTACAGTGTTGGGGGTAAAAAGAAGGAGAAACAAATCAATGTTTTCAGATGTAGATGTTTTTGCATGACGTATGGGCAAAAGAAGTTGGCAAGAGACGAATGCACAAACTAGAAAAACAAACACGTAATAATTTAAAAAAAGAGAACCGTTTGCTATATACAGTATAAAACTCTTCACCTGAGGTTGGACAATGGAAGCTTAAAATGTAGCTATAAAAATACAGGATTAAGACTTCTTAACCCAGAGATTGCATGCTTTTGCTTAGTTTTGGACTCATGTTTTGATGTTTAATTTTTCAATGTGTTAATGTAGCCTTGTTCGCGTAAATAAAACGGTTCACAGTTTCAGGGTTTTTTCCAGGGGGAGGGTGGAATTCTCATCTGCTTGTTGGGGGAAAAGACCTGCCAGGCTCTGGGCTGGGATATGCATAAACACCACGACCTTAGAGAGCAGTTCTTCTGAGCACCTCGTAGTTTACAGATTCCGTATATTGCCACGTACAAAACTGTTTTCCTGCTTCCCCCATTCTGCATTTTAATTGACCCGTACAACTCTGTAGCTCATTTCAATATTGTTGTACTAACTTTCTCTAAATTGTGAATAACCAGCTGAACTATTAGCATGCCAAATTCTAGAGATCTTTGAAAAATAGCCTCTGTGCTTGTTTTAATAACAGAATGCTTATTAACGTAGAATAACTATTTTTTTTTTGGTCGTTATTTTAAAGAGCGTCTATTAATCTGACTAGCAGCTTGCTTTGCCTCTTGACATGCTCACTCGCCATCATGCTCACCCTTCTCTTCCAGATCCACTTCCTCATGATACTGTCTTCTAACTGGGCCTACTTAAAGGATGCAAGCAAAATGCAGGCCTACCAAGATATCAAAGCAAAAGAAGAGCAGGAGCTTCAGGATATCCAGTCTCGGTCAAAAGAGCAACTCAATTCTTACACATAAATGTTTGCCACAGTAATTCAGCAGAAGAGTTCTGTAGCTCTGACAAATCAGCAAATAGCTGCTCTGCAGTACAGATGTGTGTCTAGCAAACAAAATTATAGAGAAGTGTAAAAGCTTCACATTCCAGCTCCTGGAAAACTTTTTTAGGGAAATCTTCCCATGGGTAATCTTCCGTCCTTTCTAACAGAGAATGGAGGGTTTATTCCTGGCATTTTAATAGGCAACACTTTACAAAAAGTGACCAAATTATTCTTCTTTGAGACTTGGTATTTAATATTTGACTTATTCTAGAGCATGACGCCCTGCACAAAACGGTGGCAGGTGCCCCAGCCGAGCAGGCAGTAGATCTGTGCAGATCTCAGGCACATGCACGGTGCGTGATTGAGCACCTCCCAAAGGAACCCGTGCCCAGCTGGGGTTTCTGAGAGGAGCTCGTGTCTGTGTGATGGCACAGCTGCAGCACCTCCCAGGCTGCAGGTGGGCTGTTTGGGAACACCCACACCTGGGCCATGGGAGCAGCTCCACCCCTGTGCCACACGCTGCCACGATGAAGCTGTCACGTCCCTGTGCTCACCTGAGGGTCCAGTAGATCTCCCAAATTCTAATATTTTTATTAACTATTTACTGGAATGTAGATCCCTGGATCTGGATAATGATCCCCTTCTTTGAAAATAAATGTCAGCTTTGCCTTAATATTTATTTTCTATAAATGTCTTAGCATTTATATGGTGGCAGGAGACCATTATCCTACATTTTAAGCACGTGAAAGTGTTACCTTATTAAAATGATACTGATCTGACTATTCCAAATGAGCGGATGAGAAAGTTTGCAGAGTTTTACACAATAATAAAATTTGCAGCCATAAAAATAATACAGGATGTCCACCTTTCTCTATCTTGGTGCTTAGCAAATTTATAGTCAGTGCTTATGTGTTTTCCTTTTTACAAATTAATTAGCACACTAAGAAAACGTGGTGTTCAGAGAAAAAAAACAACAAACAAACTGGTGCCATTTTAAAGTCATTTCCCATAGAAGTCTGCCTTCTAATTAATGTTTTTTTTCAGAAGCATTCAGTGATATCTTGAGTATTAGTGATGGTATATTTGGTGTTTGTTCTATATGATATATATATATATATATAAATGTTGGGGGGGAAAAGTAAAAATACATCATTCATTTGAAAAAATTAAATATTCAAGTCATACCCCTGCTAAGCTGACGTGTGGTTTGGTAGTTTTGACTGTTTGCTGAATATTCATCAAAGGAAGCACAAATTCCTTCAAATCAGTATTAAGAGAAAAGGCATTTTTGGGGGGGACATTAACTTCAAATATAATTTCTTTTGTTAAGTATTGAAGTCTAATTTGACAGTTTCAAAAAAGGGGCAAAGTTGATTGATGTAGAGCAAATCCGACAAAATAGCCTAGTGTATGTTCTTACCTGTTGCATGAAGGAGACATTTCTACAGCAATGCAGGTGATGTTCTAGCCCAGTGTTTGCATAAGGGTAATAATGGAGGCAGTGTCTTAAAGCCTAATTCTTTTCTAATTCAGTGTAGCTATTACTGGGAGTTTTTGAAGTTTTGTTTAAGTAGTCTAATATTTTTATGTAAAGAGCATTAAATTTTGCTATGTATAAATTTTTGTAACCTAACAGTGAATCAATATTTTCTATCAGTGCCAAGGGCTTCCTGTAGTTACATCCAAGTGTTAAAATAAATATTTGTAGATAATAGACAACACTTGTGTATGCTTATTTGAACCCAGACCTACAGCTACTCCATGGCAGTGCATCTCTAGGCTTTATGTCTCTATCTGAGGTGAAACATGTTCTGTTCCAGAGCTCCCTGCCCTGCTGCATGGGGCAGGGCTGCCCTGCAGGTGCAGCTGCAGCAGCAGCTGTGTGCAGCATGCAGTAGTGGTAGTTGTTCCAGGCCAGCATAATGCAACAAGCACTACCCCTTCCCAACATCCAACAGGAGCAGTCACTCAGAAATTCTGTAAAGGCCAGAGTGGCTGCAACAGCAAATTAAGCAGCACGCAGAATTAGAGTAACTGCCACATCACATTTTAGATTCATTCCAAAAAGCAAAGTTTGTATCTGTCATGGTTTTGGTACATTGTGTTTAAACATCCAGTGAATTCAAGACAGAACTTTGTTTTTTGCCCCTAAAGTCTGTCAAACTTGGCTTCATGTTCTTGTAGTTAGGTCAAGACGAGCAGCCTCAAATGCAGTGCAAGTTGTAATATATGCTGCCACCCAAAATTACTTCATTGATAAAAACCTACTGTATTTTATACTGTAAATAAAGTTTAATGATCTTGCCTATAATCTACCTACAAAATACAAAGCTTAAATAAAGATGAGTTAAATAGCATTTTTATTTTAATCTCTCCATTCTGGGCTGGTTAATACCAATGAGGTGATACATGAGAGGGACTGTTTTTGAAAGTGGCTCCTGCCCCTGCAGCAGAAGGGACACCTTGTTTGGGTCTGTCACACTCAATGCTCTCAAACTGTGTGAGCCAAGTGCCTCCACAGGACACCTTTAAAAACGGGTGATGAGGGAATTTTTTATTCCCTTCACCCACACTCTGAACCATTTGGAGAAGGGGTTGGGGGGTGGGGGTTGGGAAAGTTGACAAAGTTTAGAGGAATTCAGTGCCAACACAAATCTACCCAAACATACTGATCAGTTTCTGTTCCCTGCTTTGTTCTTTCTCTCACCCCACCCAAGGGCTTCCTCCTGGATTAGTAACACATCAGGACTCCCTGTTTGACTTCAATGACAAGTGATAAAACAGATCAAAATCAGCTTTATTAATTTATAATTACACAGCCTGCAGTGTTGGTGCCTAACATTTATTACAGGCACAAAGCCATTTTAAAAATATCTCATAATAATAATAAAAATCAAAAAAATCAGTAGCTATTGTTCACCAGAAGCTTTCATCCACATCTCCATGAGAAATGTCTGCAACACTGTATTGATTATAGGAGGGAGGAAAAGAAAGTGGGATGAGTCCAATGTAGTTTATCTTAAATCTTAATACTCATTTTAAAACGGAAGGTAAGAAACTGCCTTTGCTGCAATTCTCTTGCTGTTTCAGTGAACTGCTGGCAATAAAAACCAACCCAAAAGGAGGAGAATTTGGGCCTTAATTAACTGAAAGCCATCACCTCTATCTCAAAAAGCAGAACTATCTTCTGTAGTGCTCAGCCAGTGTAAACAACACAAGTGGTGCCAATTCAGGAGCAGCAGGGTAGGGTCTGTTAGGTTTAACAGCACAGATAATAGTGAATCATTACTGTGGTTATGGTGAACCTTTATGGTTTTTTTTTCCTAACTGCTCCATATTTTTTGCATATTTTCAATTCTACATCTTTGAATAAACTGAAAGATTTGGAAGAGGATTGTTTGGTTTTTCTCTTGCAAGCAACTAAAGCGTATCTGTATTTATCAATGCCTAGAGAGAACCAGAGGAAATGCCTGGGTTGTTGTAACTCAGTGCAGGCAGACAAAATCTCAGAATAAAGTGCCGTGAAAGTCCACAGTGGTGCTGAAAAATCAAAGCTAGGAACAGACTATGGGTGAGGTGCAGCACAGACCTTCACCCAGGGTGGCATCACCCAAGAACAATCCCTCAAACTCCAGCTCTCTGTGAAGGAAGTTGGATGCTGCTCAGTTGCAGGTAGAAAGTTGTGAGTGCCACAACTACTGAAACAGATCACTGAGTGCAGCTCTCATATGTGAGTTCCATACAGTGCTTAACTTGCATGTACAAGAATTTGAAGGATCCTCAATTTTTCTGACACAATTGCTTTTGATTAATAATTTATTTTGGTTTCTAAGGAGGCAGATCTCTCTTAACATAATTCATACTAAAATATTAAAACTATATATTAATTTAGAATTATTATTATTTGTTAATATGGAGTACTAGAAGTGATTAATACAAAAGCCTTACCTGTCATCATTTTCAGTAGATAAAAGTCCTTCTGAAGGTGACACTTCTCTTATTTCTTCTTTTTTTGAATCCTAGTAACCAAGAGGAAAATACACTTTCTCTAACCACTTCTAATGTCAAAGTAACCTAAAAATAGTATCTGTTTTTAATGCTAATAACTGAAAATAAAAATAATAGGGACCAACCCTTTTTCTACAAATGCTACACTGGATCTAGAATAGTAACTCTTTGGAAATTTAGATAGGGATCATGTCTGAGCAAAAGCATCCTGCATTCCTTCACTGAAGTAATGTCCACCCATACCTCTTCTTTAAAAGTCCGATTTTCCATCTTCCCAGAGTAAATTCTGCTGTGTTAGAGGAACACAAACTGATGTGTGCAAGTTCAAGCTGTATTTAAAAGCAGTTTAAGCTAAAAATTGAGGACATTGAAATACTGTCCTATACCTTAAAAAACAAACTAACAAACATCCCACCCAGAGGACACCAGCAACCCTTACAGAAGAAAGTTTTCAGTGTTTTTCCTTTTGCATCATCACACTTTTCCAAAACAAATCCAAATATTCTGCTCTGCAGGTTGTTACATAAAGCTTATAAATGAAGAAAAAACTGAAATGTGAATATTGTTTTCGTTCTAAGCATGCCCAGCAAGACACAAATTTAGTCAATATTTTTGGGACCGCGTTTTGCGAATAATCACCTTGTTTTCTGGTTCCTTCTCTCTGCTCTGCTGAATTATTCTCATGTATTTTTCTAATGGATTGGAAGGAGGATCCTTTACATTATTTTCAGCATCAGTGTTACTGTGCTCAGATTTTAATCCCTCTTTATCTTCTATTTCTTCATCTGTTTTTATCAAGTCTTGGATACACTTTAAGACAAAAATAAAAATAAATACTGATTAGAAAAATACATTTATACCTTACTACCTGCAATACATGCAGAATTTAATGTAAAAATTTTCACTCAGTAAAACTTGCCTGTCTAAACAGCATTAAACAGGACCTAAAAATCCAGAATACTAAACACAAAGGAATTAAGCAAACTCAAGGTCTCCTTATACCCTCTGCTTCCAGAGTACCCTGGACACTCTGACAGAGGCTAATGAACAAATAGACATAACATGCTCTGGTGGTGTCCCTCCTGCAGTGGCCACACCAAAGAAACAGCAGATGTTCAGCTTGTTCCAACAGCATGGTGACAGTGGCCATAAAACTGTAGCTTCCAGTTACATGAAGAAGGGAAGGGAAGGAAAGGCATCTGTTTCCAGTGAAAAAGTCACTTGGCATAAGGAGACACTCTGGTGAGATTCTGGTTAATCACAAAAGTACATAAAATAACTCAGTCTCTACTACTTTCACTTAATGGAATAAAAATCTACTTTTAACCAAGTAACACATAACAATCCTGAAATGCAAGGCACTACAAAACTGCATTACTGTCAGAAATTAAATTACCGCCTCGTTGTTAAGCTTTTCCACTTCTTTTTGCTCGCTTTCCAAAGCTTCCTGTTCTTTGTCTCTTCTTTCTTCTTGTGCTTTCCTTTCTTCTTCTAAGATTTTCTCAGCTTCTCTGTTCTCTTCTTCAATCTGCCTTTGATCTAGCACTGCTGTGAAAAATTATTTCAACATCTGTAATTTGATTTATGTAGTTCAGTAATCACTACAAGAGCATCCAAATAAGTACCAGGTTCTGTATAACATTAAATTAAAAACAACTGGATATATTGTTTGTACATACACCAAACTTATTCTTGGGTATCAGTTAATGTGTTTTCCCACCTCTAAACATTTTTTAGTCTGATAAATGTCTCACCAAGAGTTAAGGAGTAGAGCCAAAGTACAGACCAGAGATCTGACAGATCTCTGTACTTCTCATTTCTTTCATGGGCATTCTCATTAAAGTTTTATTATCCCGAAGTCCATGTTACTATATTCTTTCTCCTTCTGCAATGTGGTTGGATACAATTCTTTATATTTGTAAAGCAAAGTGTTTAAAACTCCTTGGAAAAATTATTGCAGGACACACTGCTGATGTGATCAATGTATTTAAAAAGATGTCTACAAAGAACAGCATTAGATAGGAATGAGATGGGCAAGCTAAGGACTGGGAATCATGAGAAGCTAGAAAACTCTTCTCTGAATAAAAAGAACCATAATGTTTCCATCTACAACAATTAGAAAAGCAGCATATGCTGACTATATATAATGAGATACTATTCTCATCTACCCAAAGAATTAAAACTGCATTGTGATAATACAATTCATCAACAGAGTCAAGAATAAATTTTAAAAAAAAATCCAGACAAGCAATACTTCAAAACATTTAAAGTCTCACTCCTATCAAGAGCAGAAATTATATTTAATAATTATCCTAAAGAAAAAATAATCATCTCACAAGAGGCTGGACAGGGGGGCGGGATGGGTGGCAAGAATGTTTAAATTAAAACATTTTGAAGCAAATTGAACTAAAACCAGGATGAAAAAAGTCATCCTTATACAGGAAAGCAAAGGAAAACATTCCTTTCTCGTTATTACAGAAATGTCACTTTCTGCAAAATTTTTCAACCACACCAGCCTCTTACACACCTACAGACTCTTAAATATTTGGCTTTCTGTGTTACACATTTGACATTTATAAAGGGTAATTTCTTTTGTGTCTGAGCTGAGAACTCACTTAAGTCCTGCAGTGAAGTGGCTGTTGCTGGCATGGGGGCTGTGACACAGTTTCCATGGACGATGTCCCCAGATGGATGCAATACATCACTTTCACACTCCTCTGGTATGTCCCCCTGATCTAGTGAAGAAATTTGAACAATGGCTTCATTATTTTGTAATTGCAAAAGCGGAGCACAGCAATGGACACAGAGTGTGGGAATGGCTAAATTAGAACACAAAAATATCAGCACTAATTGAGCATTTTCCCTTCAACTTGATCATCTCCCTAAGAATTAAGAATTATCATAGGCTGTACTTGCTTCTTTAATTACAGAATTGTTAGTTTTGAAATTAGCTATTGGAACACATCTGCTTATAAAGCCAAAACTGAAGAAATATACAACAGAAGCCCAAGATGTTTTCATTTCTTTACATAATCAAGACAGAAGTCACAGAAAAGTTGTATGTCCAAGTTTAGCTCGTTTTTATGCATATAAAAATAATCTTTAAGTATTTGGTCACACTCTCTTTAATGGGGTCCTTGAGTTCTTCAGTGCACAGGATGGATGCTGCTCAGGTATTCTACATTATACTGTCTTCTCCTTGTGCAAGGTTGGCTCTGAATTCACAAAAACACAATTACTGTCCTTCCTCTTTGATCATTGTTATGATATTCAACTGCTTTTAAATTACTTATTTTCAAAGTATGCAGACTGCTATTATCTCATTTGATGGGAGATAGAAAAAAAAGAGATAAAACAAGATGTGGCCATTACCTCTAGGCAGCCAGCCTGAAATACACAGGACAATTCTACCAAGCACTTTGTGTAACACAGCACAGATACCCTATATATCTCCATAGGTTTTGGTTAAAGCTTTAGAAAACATCAATTTTTCATCCTTCATATACTATCAATGTCTCAAGCATTTTTCTTTTTTACATTATAATAAAACTGAAATACTTTGCATGAAAAAAACCAAGTCAACTAAACTTATCAGCATCTCTCTAAATAGTTGGAATTTCTTTAAATTAAAACTCTTTTAAAGGAACTGTAGATGACAGCATAAGAAAAAATTTCTGTCCAGCTGTCAACTCCAACCAAGTTAGGAGAATATTTACAAGTTTCTTACAAAAGCAGGAGGAATTCCTACCAGCTTCACCTAGAAAAATAAATTCTATATATGTGGTATTTTGTAAAATAATGGGCTATCACACTCAAAATCTATTCTGTTTTGTTGTTCTCTCTCTAAATTATAAAGCTGTCAACAACATTTCCATATAAGCATCAGGTGTATATGTATCATCAAAAAATTCCTTTCATAAATTTGTCCTGGTTAAATATTACTTCTAACTTCAAAATGACCGCTAACAACATAAACAAACAAAAAAACCTACACCAAAACCATTAATAGTAAAAAACAAAATATTAAGTTAACTACTCTGCAAAGGAGAGAAAAGGTAACTCTGTAGACTTTCACTCCCTTTTTAAGAGTGGACAGCAAGAGATGGTTTATTCCCTTAAGATGAGCATATCACCTAAAAGCAGTTGCTGCCAAGAGAATGTGCTGATCTTTTCTTTCAAGAACTCACTCACAGTAGGACTAAAAGACTTCCATATTTTCTGGTATGTCCTTTAGTTCATTGTTTTTCATACTGTTATCAACTTCATCCTTCACTCTATCTTTTTCCGTAGTTACTTCTTAGATTTTACTTTCTTACCCACCTCTCCCTGCAATTTCTCCTGAGCTACCTCCTCCCCTTTTCAGCCAGTCTGATTTCCTCCTACATCCTCAGATTGTCTTTCAATGCAGGCTCACCCAACTGAAGTACTGCTGATTGAGAAATCATCAGGATATGTGGACTCTTAAAATTATTGACCACTACACATCACCAAATGATTCAGTAGTACCTTACTTGGGCACAGCACCTACTCAGCCCTAATTGCCAAGAAAATGCCAGTCTGTTGTCATATGTAATAAAAGAAAAATGAAATATGTAAATGTATTCCCAATATCTCCCATGCAAAATTAAACAAATAAATATAAGTCTAATTAAAATGTGAGATGAGTAGAAACCATTAGTGTCTACAGGCTTGCTTCACATTCAAATAATGCATTTAAAGCTTATAAAAGAAGTAAATGAGATAAATAAAACCAACTGAGTAATGAGCTTCACAGAGAAATACACAGATGAGGCATTATCTTCTGCCAGGTACCACTAAACACTATCAGCATATCTGCTATTTAAACAAACATCTCTTTTGGCTGCTTGCTTATATTATAAATATATAAATAATATTATAAATTATAAATATAATTATTTAAATATTATATAACATGCAACTAAATTTAATATATAATAATTATATCGTTGTGTATAATAATTATTATCTATTTATATAATTATATGTTATTATAATTATATAAATACATAAAATATATAATAATATATAAATAATGAAAGCCATATTCTCACAGGGTCAGGAGAGTGAGCAAGGGCTCTACTCCATCCTCCATATAACCGAACCACAACCAAAAGAATAAGCCAGTCTGAGGCCCAGGAAAACACACCAGCTAGAGTCACTAGTTTCAAAGAAAATATCCCTAACTCTCCCAGACAACAATCACAATCTTTTCACCAACTATGAGTTTAGTTACACCACACAATGCCACATGTCCACCAAGCCTCAGGACTTAACAGACCTCATGAAACCTGGAAATAGGAAAGGTTTTCACATCTTTGTTCAACATTAGGCTGTCACTGAAATGCTGAAAAACTAGGTAAGGGCAGTAGCTGTGCTTCATTTCTCACTCCATATACAAATGGCTAGAAAGTTTTATTACCTTCCTCTTTCTACACTACCTTAGTTACATCAAAGATTTTTGAAAACTGACCCTGCAGCAGACAGAGAGAAGGAGACATTTTATAGCATGCAACCAACAGAGAGCAGAAATGCAAATAAATAAAATGCTGACCTCAAAGTAAAAAATAGGACAAAACTCAAATTTCAGTAACTGAAACACACATTCCAAAACTACTCAGAGATGCTGATTAATAAAAGCATAATTGCAGGAGTTCTACCAACATTTATACACGCAGCAACTTCTAATTCATACTACTATTAAAGCTTCAGTTAACTGAAGGAAAAACCAGGAGTGCATGCAATAGCCACAGAAATTTATCTTTAGAATTATAACCTGGTTCTAAATTATGCAACAAGTCTAATAAAGCCTCCATTTAGTTCACATACTAGTACAGGTTTATGTTTAAAGAAAAATTCTACACATTTTAAAACATTCCAAAGCAATCATGAGACCTACAGCATCAATCAGACCAAGTTTATGCAAGATTTCGGAACAAATTTATGTTACAAATTTCAGGACCAGCTCAATTCAATGTCTGCTTATTACTATATACACTTATCTAAAGATGCAAGAATGAAGAAAGTGAAGAAAGTGAATCCCTCATCATCTGTGACATTTTCCCTAATTCCAAATCAGTCAGAAATTTTTCTCTCCAGCTAGTCTTAAAAATATAAAGACAATTGTCCTATAACTGTTAAGCCCTAAGGTGTTAAACAAACTGTCTGAAATGCACTAAAACTTACCTTCAAGAGTATAAATATGTTCTTCAAGATCCTCATACCTTAGTTTCTCTGGTTTCTGGATATCACTGAAATCTTGTTTATCTGTTTGTTGACTCTGAAGTCTGAAAAAATATAAATGCTGAACTTTTAAGCAAATAGCCATCTGAAATTCACTCACAAGCTAAACAACAGACTAAACCGAACCTCAAATCCACGAAAACTTCTGACTCAAATTTACGATATTTAAATCCAGCACTATAACTTTTAATAAAAGTCTACTCCATTCTCCTCCAGCCTTTCCCAAAGGTCTTTATGTGACATAAAATTATTACATTAAAACAAAAAAGGAGTATGAAAAAACATAAAAAAGGAAAAATACAATGAATTGTGACAGTCAACTGAAATTAAGAATTTGCCTTTTTAAGCTTTGTGTTACAGTTTAATTCCCATTTTGATGTCATCTTAACAGATGTGTTTGAAATGTATTAGGATTAGATGTCTGGCAAAAGAGATGCAGGGGTGAAAATCTGGGTTCTATCAAAATGGGGTTAGTGCCCTCATTCTAAATCCCCGTTTATCTCATCAGAAAGATAATATGAAAGAACAATGTCTCCCACGTGACCCAGCTACTAAACTCTGACCAGAACTAGAACAGCAAAAGGAGTGCAGGTCACTAATGAAATTTGGCATCAGCACTTCATAAAGGAGCTTACTTCACACCAGCTGGTGCTCTTCATCACAGCCTGTTTGTGCTTACAGTTTCTAAGGAATACAGGTCTTCCATGGGGCCAAAGTGGAGAACAAACAATTCAAAACACACTCCCAACAATGAGATTTGTTCATAAACAAAAAGTGAATCTGGGCACAGACAAAAAAAATCTGCATTGCCAGAAGGATAGTTCAGCGATGTCAGTGGGGAAAAATACCCTGTAAATTAAATAGGACAGAGTAAATGAAATTTCAAGTTTTTGGAAATCTATTTCATGTTTTGAGTCTTTCCTTCACAGAAATAGGTAAGTGCTAAATAATTCTTAAGGGTGCAAAGTTCAAGGACATGCACGTCACTTTCTTCAATACTGTGTCCTGTACCACTCCTAGAAAGACAGAGAACCCACTGCCACAGTTACAACCCTCAGGCCTAAACAAACAATTAGGTAATAATCTGCCTTATCACTCTAGTCTTCCTGCCTGTGTTTACTGGCTTCCTTCATATCTTGGAACATAAATAAACAAAGAGCTCCTGTAGTCCCAGAAGCAATTGTTCTTCCCCACTGACTGAGGTCCGACTTCTAACAGCTTGTCACGGATGTTACAGCATCATATTCGCTTTTCTTTCCTTTTCAAATAAGTTCCCATTGCCACTTAAAATCTACAGGTCATAAACTAGTCACACAATACACATCAGTGATGTGGCATTTGCCTAATAATAAGAGTAAATAACTGGAAAAGCCCACACATGCATTTCTCAAATATTTCATGTAACAGAAAACAGTCCAAGGCACGTGAAATCAGAAACACAACAAAAGAATGTTTTTTTTAAAATAAAGTCTTGGGAAAGCAGCAAGTTCCAGACAATTACTGGGACCTTATACCCTTGCTTTGTCATGAGAAACCCAAGAAAGCAACAACAAACTATAGCTGCCTTCCCAGACCCAGGTCTGTCCTCTGCAATACAATTTGCTCATACTGTTCACTCTTCAAGCAGGATGGAGTCTACAAAATCCTTCAAAGTACAGTCCCTCACAGGATTAGAGCATTTTCCTCTATCACCTTAACATGCAGGTTAACATTCCAGCTTCACTTTTTAAGGTCAGTCAGAGAACTACAAGAAATCTGAGACATACCACAGAAAATGTGAATGGGTAGGGAAAGGAGACACAGCCTCACAGGAAAACTTAAAGGAAACGGACCTCACAGTCCCTAAATATCCCAACAGCTCATTTTGAGGACAAAAACCATAAAGGCTCTCCCAAAATTCTAAAAAGATAAGAGACCCTCTCTGCATTAAATGTATGTTGAGGCCTTAAAAACAAAATAAGAAAGGCCTACAAATGCCTGCTAGAGCTGTCCCAGCACAAGCTGTCTTTCTTCAGCCGTTAAATCAGGAATGATAGTTAGCAGGTTAAGGACAATTCAATTGCCTCTTCTTAGGAAAAAAATATTAAAAGTTAAATCCTAAAGCTGCTTCTGAATATTCAGGATTCTTAGTCTTGGAGAATGGAGGCAACACTGGCCAAGAAAAGAGAAGAGTTATGCTCTCCGTTCCATTCCCACATGCAAAGGAGACCAGAAAATCCTACTTTAAAAACAGGCATGTGAACAAGCTCTTCAGAAAGAGAAAAGAAGTAATAAATTTAGCATTACAGCTTGTTAATGAATGAAGTGAGAATGTACAATTGCCCTGACTAAAAATCTCAAACAGGAAGCAGAAATTGAAAGGCTTCAATTAGCAAAAGCTAATTAGTCAGGTCACAAATGTGAAAAATAGAGAGACAATGAAAGAGACATAACTTTGCCCAGAGCAAACCAAAGTGTTTGGGTTTTTTTCACAACTAGGTCCCACCTGAGGCATGATAATTAAAATGGAAATCCTTAGTCATCTTTAGAAAAGTTTTCACTTACAAAATCATTGGCTTGCTTGATTTGTAAAAGCAGCTATCACTGTGAATGATTAGATAAATGTTTCTTTAAAAAGCAGGTTAAAATGTTGCTTTGTAAACATAGTTACCTGATTTTCTGGCCATGACTGGATGGTGAAGAAGGAACAGACTCAGAAGATGAAAGCAAATAGGGCTTTGAAATAGGAGAAAGAACCTGGTCAACACTCCGTTGTGAAGAGGTAAGGGATGAGCTCTTGATGTCTGCAGAATAAAAATCCCACAACCTGTATTAGTTATTTGTCCCACTATTTCTCAGACAAGGCTGGTTGTATAATACATGCATTATTGGTTCTATGTGCATGAACTTAGGAAGGAAAACAAACACATGAGCTAATTTAAAGGGAAAGAAAAAACTGCATAATCCTTCCACTTGCAGTAAAACAGCTGTTGGATCTGCCAACTGTGTTTTAGAGGAGAACATACTTCTTCCTTTTGTTCTCTAGAAACAGGTGTTGACAACTGAGCTGCACTTAACCTCACTTAAAGGAAAAACAAACCTCAGACTCACATGTATGGTATCTTCTACCTTTTTATATTTACCCTAAGTTGTTCAGACTGGTATTTCCAACAGCACCAAAGTTCCACAGAAGCTTCCAGAATGACTTAAGAGTTTTCTAGCAAAACTACACCTGCTGCTTCAGCCATCTCTAGCAGAAAAGGGTAATATTACTGGTATATATACATTATATATAATTATATATGTTATATATAATTTACTGGTATATATATACCAGTAAAAAAGCACTCCTCAGAAGACTCATGAGACAGAAGTGACACCTCAGTGGGGAAGCAATATAAGTGGGAGCTGACAAACCCCACTAACAACAGCACAGTTAGCATTGAAGCTAACCTTAACATCCTATCACACAGCTGTGGCCTGGTTTCCTACACTCCACACCACTCCATTTCTGTAACTCCTGAGTCAGGTAATGAACTCCTTTGTTATTCAATTCTTATCCCTCTCCAGAACCATTAAGCAAAGAACAGATACAATGAGGGGAAAAAAAAAAGAGATCTGCCATCCTGTAACTAGCTTCTGAAAAGTACAAATACAGGAAGGATTGTTCAGGTTATGCACACAGCTAGTTTTAACATTTCCTAATTTTTTAACAAAACCCTAGTATTATGAAAGATTTTGTCTGTGTGCAGTGCTAAACAAATAGTCTGTGGGTACTTTATACAGAAGCTGACAGAGAGAACTTACAACATGAAAGATTGCTTTGGAAATTCAAATCTCAAAGATGTTTTTAGTAACAGAGTATGATGTTCTACATGCAGAAACACAGAAAAAGCCACACTGTAACAAATCAGGGTTTGTAACCTACTTCTAACAGTGCCCATTACCAAACAAAACTAAACTAAAACTGGAAAAGGAGAATAATAGTATCTTACTTCTGGCAACACCCACCTCAGCCTTTCTCAGATCAAATATTTTGGATCCTCCTGGCAGATAAGTTTTATTCCTGCATCTGTACTTGTTCCCACAGAAGCAATGAGTTATACAACTTATTCATGGTATGAAAAAGCATTTAATTTTATTTCCTTTCAATGTTATGGGATTCTGGGGCCTGTGAAACACTAATCAGTTGATCCCTTTTCACCTTTTCCACATCACTCATTGTTTTCCAGATTTCCCACAGCACATCTCAGCCATCTTTCTTCCAAACTAAGCTGCCCTTGTATTTAACCTTCCTTCATGGAGAAGCTGATCATTATGGTTTTTTTGTGTTACTCTCTCTTTTTTTTCATCCTATTAAATCCACTTCAAGCCAGGGTGAAAAAAATTGCATCACTCAAGAAGCAGATGTACTGCAGATTTGAAAAAACAGATTTTTTAACAATTGCTCAAGAGTATTTTATAAAGATGTCACAGCAAAAAGAACAGACAAAAGGAAATCTGGACCTTTCAGACTGGAAAGAGAAGCCACTTTCACTTTAAGAGAAGCCAAAGACACATTCTGCCACACTAACTACAACAGAAAGGGTAGAAATATAGGAGAGTTAAGAAACTACAAATAATGTTGCAAAGTAGTTATACTTAATAGCAAGTTTTGAATGAAACTCTGTATATCATAAGGTTACACCTGTAAGGATTTATAGTGCCTAGTCTTCTCCTCAAAGCTCCCTAGAGCATGTTTAACTCCCCTTAGAATGTTTGTCCTGCACTTGTTTCCAGGAAGGAGCAATGCTCCAAGCAGCTGGTATATTCTGTCACCTGCAGAACCGCATCTCCTGATTTCTCCTGCATCTTAGTAAATAATGAGCAAACGACTAAAACTGCTAAATCTTAAGTGTTCCCGGAGCACAAGAGGAACAGGAAGTAAAACCCATTATTGCACCCCATTAACAATTGTGACTTACCATCTGGAATTTTCTTGTTACTGAGGTCTCTCTTCGGTTTGGAAATGGGAGTAGAAGAAAGGCGTCTCGAAGAAGATGCTCCTCTGTGTGGTGACATTAAGGAAGATTTAAAGATATCGACCTGCCCAGTTCTTTTGATGTGTTCCTCACCTCCTGCACTGCTCAGAGGGGAATGTGGGGAGCTGGGATTATCCTCTAACAATTCCTGCTGCTGGGTAGTTAAAGGGTGTCTACTAAGAGGACACTGCAGAATTAAAGGAGGCTGCATCTTCCTTGGTGTTCTGCTTGCAGCTGCATTCAGCATTACCCTGTGTTGGTAATTCCTGTAGGCTTCTTCCAAGTACTCGGCCTCCTTTTCCAGCTCCATCACCCTGGCCCGGGCCTGCGCGATGCACTCCAGATCAGAGTCCGGGGAAGCGCTGCGTGGCTGCTGCCGACAGCCAGGCCCTAGCACGGTGCTGATCATCCCCACATCAGGCAGGACGGGCCTCCTCGGGAATGTGCCGTCCACGTAAATGTCAGGGGGCACCATCCTGTCACCGAGGAAATCGAGGACAGAGCGGTCGACGAGCGACGGCTTTGGGTTCCGATACACCTCATTCTCCAGGGCTAAATGGCAACAAGAGAAAGCGAGAGACACTAAAGAGAGAGACCTATAGCAAAGCAAATCTAGTAAAACATGGCGTTTAAAGTCTAATTTAACCAAAATAGTTCTACCACAGAATTGGCTTACATTTTGGGAATTTAATGGTTTAACTGAAATTGATTTAAATGTATTTTTAATGCAGCTCCAAAGCTGCAAATGTCCACTGCTGGTTTATAAATATATAATTCTTCCACATAAAACTACCTTTAAGTACATACTCTACAATGCTCTTTTTTAAATTATGCTTAAGTAAATAAATAAACATGAAAACATTACCACTTTGGACACATTATAGCTAATCATGTTGTTAAAGTCTAAGGAACACAAGGCATGCCACAAGTCTTAACTGTTTCCCTTTATTTAAATCAAAAAATAATTTTTTTAAAAACAACACAGCACATAGAAAATGTTGGTTTGGTTTTTTGGGTTTTTTTCATTAAAAGTACTCTAAAATTGTCAGTTAAACTGAATGTTTTGGAGCAGTCTGCTTCCTTTCACTTGTACGTTTCAACAAGCCCAAAAGACCAATCTATAGGGCTGTATCTTTCAGCAAATTTACAACCTTGTTTTTGTTCTACATAAGTGGTACTTAAATGACTTCATTAGCTCTGATGTAAAATAAAAGTTCCTACAGTACTTTCACTCATTTAATTAAAACATGTATTTGCTATTTTGATATAACAAATTTCCAATTCTAAATGGTACCAATACATGTACCATAAATGTATGTATCAATCTAGTGAACAGTATAAAATATAAAATAGTGCATGGAGGCAACACATGTTGTATGTAATGTATAATCATGGCAGAATTTAATTCCATATTTTAACATTAAATATAGATACCAACCCTTTTATTTATAATATCTGATATTAGCAATTTGACAGACAGGCATCTTTAGAATTACATTTCTTCAGCAGATTGAAGTGCTTTATGTAAGTGTCCCTGTTTCTAATGCCCATACAAGATAAATTAAGCTTAGGTTAGGCAAAAATTATTAGATTTGACTAAATCTGTTTAAGAGTTAGACTTAAATTTCTGAGGTACAAAATACAATTTCAAATTGATTATTGTTATTATGAACATTCAAGATTCAAAACACATTAAAACACAAGTTGCCTGCTGGAAAATGTTGTTTATGTTATCAGCAAACATTAATGTCGGTATGCTGAGGAAAAACAGACAAAAATATGCAAATGCTCAGGGAGGAGTATTTTTCCTTCCTCGTACAGGTTTGTTTTCTGAAAGGAGGCTGTAATGAGACTCCTTTTTAAACTGGGCTTTAAATAGATTTTGATTTTAAACTTTAAAATCTACTCCCTGGTGATGTATTAGTTTTACCCGACTGCAGTTTTTTTAAGCTTCTGGAACTTCTTACACTAGTCCTTCATTAAAGACTGCTCTGGTGTAAGATACAAACCTGCCTGTGTTTGTTTCACTTGCAGTTTCAGTTCTTCAACCTGCACATTTAACTTCCTGACAGTAGCTTCAGAGTCTAAGAGTTGGGCCTTTAACTGGGCACAACGTTCAATCTATAGGAAATCAAGAGAAAAACAAAAACCAGCAAAATTAAAACAACAAGAATAATCTCAACTGGCTGAATAGTTGTTTCTAGGTGTTTTTCAGGTCTAGTCCTGAAAAACATATATACAGAGTATCATATATACATATATATATCAGACCATATATACATTATATCTACTGAAAGTCAGCACTGATTATTTGGTGACTCGGTAAGACTTTCTTGGTTATGTTGGGTTGGTTTTATTTTTCAATATTTTTTTTGGAGTGTTGATATTTTATTTTCTTTAGAGTTGTTTACATAAAAATAAGCACAGTACAAACAATCCACATAACTGCACGCCAAATGGCCTGCACAGGCAGATGGGTAATTGTGAAAGAGATGACGGGAAGAAGAAAAGATTCAGATCATTTAGAAATAATAATTTACCTCACTTTGTAGCTGTTTTTCCAACATCTGTTTATGACTTTCAAATTCATCCAGCACCAGCTTCTTAGAATGCTCCACTCTCCTCAGCTCCACTTGGCAGGCCAGGTACTCCGCTGAGGGCTGGGACAGCTCTACCCCAAAAGGAAAACACCAGACACTCAGACAAAGAATAACAAGTGTGCACTTTTCTGCACAATACCCTGTGAACATGTAAAGCTGATTTGGTTTTAGGAAGATAACAAGGCTTTGTCTGAATAAAGTACTTGAGGATATTTTTCTTCTTCCTTTTACAAAGGACCAAAAATATTCATTGGTGTAGACCCAAACTGTCCTACACTGAAAGAAAAATACATATCCTTACCTTATGTAACTACACACATCTCTAGTCTCCTGTAATTTGAAATGCACATTAAAAATACTTTGTATTTATTACTGCAGTCAGGCAAGCACTTAAATAATAATACCATGTTCTTTTAGCATTATTAACCATACTAATGCTATGGTAAGAAATATTGCACTGCTTTTTTCAGAGGGTAAAAGGGATATCCTTCCACATTACAGCTACTACTTAATTCAGGATTCCTCACAGATATATAGAAGAAAATAAACTTATGCCAAAGACTGCTCAATTATACACAAACACTAGCTTGGGCTTCATGCAAACTACTAGCAAACATAATACAAAGAAAGCATTTTAATGAAAATTTACTCCTAAACAAATACTTGTAGAGAAACATAAACAAGGAAATAACTAAATCATTCACACTGACTGTCTCGAAGATGCTGGTTCTCATTCCGAGTCTCATCCAACTGTTGCCTAAGTAGTTTATTCTGCACTTGGAGCTCCAATTTTTCCTCCTTTAGCAAAGGATAGTCTGACACCTCTTTCAGTTTTTCTGTCAACAACTGATTCTGTTTATTTACCAACAGAACCTGGGCCTTCACTGATTCCAAATCCAGCTGCAAATAAAGAACAGTTTAGAAGCTTATGAACCATTGTACCACTTAACAATTGTTTTTATTTCACATTTTCTTTTTAATTTGTAACATACCTCAGCTGCACCAATTAGAATACAGGCTTCTTTAAATTCATATTTACAATTACCTCAAGCTCTTTGGTGCGTGATACAGCTTGCTTGAGTTCCTCCTTTTTTGAATTAACAGCAGTGGCTTCTTCTTGCAAAAGCATAGCTTTCTCTGCAGGGAGGATTACAAATGCTGAATTAAAATTATTAGAGTATTACAGTAAAAAACTGTATCAGCAGAAAACAGTTTTAAGCTACTAAGCCAAAAATTCAATTTAAGACATAAAAATGACTGAGTGTCATACACACACATTCAAAATTAAGTAAATCATGCTGTATATACAAATGTATACATATGCATATACACATTTAGAATTAAGTGAATTAAATTCATATGCCGGTGATATATAATTTCTTACACGTCCCTAACTTAGAAGTCTAACCCTGTTATCTGTTCCGGCTCTCTTCTGCAAGCTCCAATTAAACATCTTGTGCACAATAAATGCAGAAAGTTGCAACTGTGCCAGGGTACAGTACCAGAGTTCAGTTAAAGCCTGAATGAGCTAGTAGGACTTCCGAAGGAAATGGGACACTGAAAAACCCATTTTTTTGGGTTTGCTTTGCAGCCTCAGTGCAAAGCAGCAGTTTATGATTCCCACTGCATTCTGAACAGCAACGAGTTGCTGAACTGTCATCTGCTCTGATGGCTCTTCTGTCCCTTATACCACTGAACACCAGGACTGTTTAGCATATGACAGTAAAAGCTCTAGAGATAAACAGCACTTTATCAATCTCAGAAAGATGCTTACCTTTATTTTTTTTCTCATCTTCAGTAACTTTACTGGTTCTGGCTATGTATTCTTCTTTTAATTCAAGCTGATATCTAGAAACAAGTAGAATTATGTATTCCCAAAGGATGTGTGTGCACACATGCACATACATTTGTGTTAATTCCATTCTTTCCCAAACTAAACTATAATCACACAATTATTTTTTGACAAAATTAACTATCACAGAGTCACCAAAATGGTTGGAAAGGGCCCTGCCAATCATCTCATTCAACCACCTCCTCCAAAAGCCAGACTCTTGCTACCTGTACAGCAGGGCAGATGCAGCTCTTCCTAGCCATGTCTTGAAAACCTCAAAGGACATATATTCACCATCTCCCTGGATGATCTGTACCAATGCTGCACTACTCTTCCAGTAGATTTCTTCCTTATGTCCAAGCTAAATCTCCCAAGCCACAACTTCCAGTCCCTGCCATATGGACTCAGAGGTTACATTTGAGACTCCGACTCAAATGGACTATCCTGACAGACTTTACCAAGCCCTTTCCAATTTCTTCATGACTTTTTTGAACTGGGGAGCCCAAACCAGGGCATGGTATTCCCAGCATAGCCTTCCCTGGTACATTTCAAGAGACAATAAGTTCCCTCAGTCTGCTGACCATGCTGCTTCTAATCTTACCCATCACACTGTCTTGCCTTATTTGTGAGAGCATGCTGCTGGCTCATAATCAACCTGGCATTCACTGTAACTCATCCACCTCCTCAGAAATGAAGCTCCTCAGTCAACTCCTTTTCCCCATTTACACTACCTCATAGGGCTATTCTGCCCTGAGCACTGAGCTTTGCAGTTTCCCTTGTTAAAATTCCTAAGATTTGCACTGGCATGATTCCCAAACTTGTCAAAATCTGCCTGAACTGAGACTCTGCCATTCATTGTGGAAATGATTCCTCTTAATTAAGCCTCATATTCGAAGCTGAGGATGCTCTGTGTCCATATCCAGATGAAGACGCTGGACAATAAGGGCCCCAGAACTGGCCCCAGGGGTTCTCTGCACACCACCAGTCACCAGCCAGACACTGAGCACTGCCCAGGTACACCACTATTCCTAGCCCAGTAGTTATTCAACAGTGTCATTCCACTGAACTGGAATTTACAGGAGCTAAGAAATCTCAGCATTCTGCATGACTGGGACATAATTATAAATGGTTTCAGATATAGCCAAATCCATCCTCCTGCATTTTTGCAAATGGTCCAGACCACTCAGATCCTTCCCCAAGTATGGCATTTAATGTTTATTGCAAAAATAAAAAAAGATTGATTTTCTAGCAAGCATCAGTACTTCTGTATAATAAACAGTAGTTTTTTAATATTTTTTTTTCATCAATAATTTGGGATGAAAGGACATGGACTTCGTCTTTCTGAGCACCTGCAGCATGCCTTAAAATATTTTGTATGTTGATAAAATAAGCCAAGCAGTTTATCCTTAAAATGCTTTGCTTCTCCTCATGTACTGAAAGGACTTTGCAATCACTCTTATTAACTAGCTGTTAGAGACTACATAAAATAAGACACCAAGCGAGTCAATTAACTGCATTTCACTGTTCTCTAACAAAACCATCAGATGCTGAGGGATTATTTTTACCAAAACCTACTATCAACATCTTTGCCCTTTAATTTAAAGGCCTAAAAACACAGATAATACTGCTCACTGGCTTGCAATAAAAAGTAATGATATGTCAGTCACTTGCTTTAACTGCCCAAGACAGGTTCATGACATACCAAGAGCACTTGTCTGCATTGAAGTATCAAGGAACCCTTCAAGTGACTGAGGTACTACAAGGAAGTACAATAGCTAAGTTAGGATACACCTCTGCAACACCCCAAAAGAAGTCACAGATGATGACTGCCAATTCCTTAAGACCAGGTTCAAGCAGAAGGTAACCAATAAGAGGGAGATCCGAATCACACAATCCCTCTTCAAAAATGGCAAAGGGTGAAGATAAGAGCAAGTCTGTCTGTATAATGGACTAGTATGTCCCTCACCCCTTTTCCAGGAAACTTATATCCAATTTCCCCTTCATGCCTCTTCTGCATTCATAAAGTGGTCAGTTCTTTTAACTGTGGTCAAAGGAAGTAACTAATACTGCTTCAGAGCCTAGGAAGTAACTAATACTGCTTCAGAGCCTCTTGTCTTAATATACAAGCTAATGTCAGATCTCTTTTCCAGATATTGACATAGAATTTAAACTACAGCAGTAATATAACCTATAACCAAAAGATAATTATTTTCTATAGTAAATTTACTAGCAAATAGCTATGCAGTAATGTAAAAGACTCAATCTGACTAAAACAAAAACATGTGCACATTTTCAAAGTCCTTGCTTTGATATGTTTTTCAAAATAAATCCTATAGAATTTTTTATTCTGTTTTCATAGGAAATACTATGTATCATACAGACAATAACTAGTTATAAAGTCAAAGCTTTAGTCTGGGGTTTTGTTTCTTTTTCACAATAACATTTATAGACATCAAAGGGCAATGTGCTTGTTTGGAATACTGTAGCAATTTGAAATCATCATCAGCCTCTGCCACTGTAGTTCATTAAGAACATGGAGATGTGACACAAACTAAATTGCCCTATTTAAAATTCAGTACAAATCAATTATGCAGCTATCCCGGGTTAACCCTGGCTCAGTTTCCCACACCAGAAACAGTTCAGAGGAAAGAGTGTTGAACATGCTATTCTATCAGCACCCTCTGCTGGGTTGATAAAAAAAACCCAAGTTTTCTCAGCAGGATGCTCAATTTGCTATGGAAAACAGAAGACAAAGTAACATTAAGTAATATTGAAAGTTTGGCCAAAAATTGATTAGTTACTTTTTTTATTTAACTAAAGAAAACTGATCTAATTAAGGACAAATAATTAAAAAAAAATCAACCCCAAAACATAGGACTAATGAAGCAAAAAATTAATGTGCATATCTCATGAGTATTAGGGTTACATACTGTGTTGTTTTGGGGTTGGGTTTTTTTAATTTAAGCATTTAAAAGTGAACATCTGGTTCCTTGCCTGCAAAGCAATGCTGAATTTTTTTGGTTGGATGAGGTGGAAGAGAAAAAAAATCAGAAACATCTTTTTGTATGGGGTATCCTTGCTAATAGGAACAGTACACAATACTGCTTAAAATATAAAACATAACTTCTGGATATATAATCTATTTCAACATCACAGAAGCAGAAACATCTTGAGACAAGTTTTGCAGAAGCATCATTTAGCAATGTACATATCCTTCAGCAACTTACATTTCAAATGCCTCCATCCTTTGCTTCAGCTCTGCCTCCCTGGTCCTTATGGATTCAATATCTTTCAACAGACTTTGTCTCTGAGCATACACTTCCTTTGCTTCTATCTAAATCACAAAACATTATACTTAGGTTTACTTCACTGTAAAACTTCATTTACTGTTTAACACACTCAAAAGGATCTTCCTCAGGGACTGACTGATCTTACTCCCATAAATACTATTTATCTAGTAATTATATGAAATGACACCCGGAATCAATTTTAATTATCTCTTTTTAATTCCCTTTCTACTTTCACTCAGAGTAAAATGTTTTAGATGGAGTCACTTCTGCCTACTCATAAGCACCCTTCCTTTAAGAAATAGCACTAATTAAAACTTAGGTAAAAGGAAAAAAAGATTTTAAAATTGCAGAATATATATATTCAAACACATGACTTTTTTTTATAAAAAAGTTTTGTATGTTCTTCACAAAAACGTAGTTGAAGAAACAAATACCAAAACCCACTGATAAAACATGACTTAAAACTGAAACTGAGCAAATGAACAGCCTTTCACTTTTTGCAGTTTGATTTATAGAACCCATAAAAATTGTAAAAGGGATTCTCGTGTGATGAACATGAGAACCAACACCAAAACCCATATATCTTCCTATTAATAAAAATGACTTTATTTGCCCTTAAAAACAAAATACATTATTTCTCAAAAAAACTCCAAAAAACTAAGAAGAAAATTATGTTCTTTCCATTGCAAAACCAGCACAGCCATATGGACCCTTATATCAACTTTGAAAGTCATGTGCATTTGACAGTGCTGACAGATTCAGCTGCTGCCATTGGTACATAAATTAGAGCTGTTTCTCAAGCCACATTTCCTAGACATAAAGTCATCACAGTGAAGGGTTAAATAACCTGACATCTTTAAAGTAAACATACCTGAACTCTGTTAAAAGAAGCCCCAGGTAAATGAAACAAAGTTCTCAGGAAGTGCGGAAGCTGACAAGAGTACTCAAAGATTTATACACAATACTTGACAGATATGTTGATCTGAGCATTGGTAGGGTTTTTTTTAATTACTGAGTTAATTTCATGACCACAGAAGATGGATAGCATAACACAGGTGTTTTCTTATCAGCTTCAAAGTACATAATCATGAAATAAATTCACGGCATGGTGATAATGTTATAGCAAATTCTATAGGGACCTGCACAACTACTTTGTTAACCAACACCACATGTTCTCAGGGAAAAAAAAACAAGACAAACAAAACCATAAAACCACCACACCAAAGCAAAAATACAGTTAGCATTTGTGGATGACTATTATTTGGATACGAAGGTCTACTGCAGATAGCAGAGAGATGGCAAGGCAAACAGGCATCAGAAAAGCAAACAAACTATTCTTTCAAAAACTGAGAAGTTACAGCTTGAGATCAGGATAAGCAGTTGAGAACTGTTACTTTGTGCTGTAGTAACAGTTACTACCCTGGCAAAACACCAAGAGTTAACAGCCCAGAGGAGTAACTCATCAACACAAAAGTATTCTAAAAAATGAAATGAGATGATAGCTTACAGTAAAGATGGAGGTTACTCATAATATTCAATATATAAAAACAAACAGCATATCTGTACTACACAAGCTATTTATTCAACTTTGGTTAGAGTCTTACGAGCAGCTAAAGAACTTATGAGCAACTAAAAGCTATGTTCAATTTTCTGTGAAAAAAAATCAGTGATCTGAATTCAGCAAAATTATTAAAACAGATTTAAAAGTATTTATTACATTTAGATCTCAGCTTGCAGAACTGTTCCTTTTCCAGCCATCTCTACTTAGATGTTTAACCACATTCATTCTTTCTGTTGCTAAATGCATTCCCCTATTTATAAGGACAAATGTGAATTCTAAGTTTTCCCTAACAAGCCAAGTAAGATCTGAAGGTAAATATCCCAGAGATAAAAGAACAGTCTAATCAACTCACTGAATCATTTTGCAATAGATTAGGAAGAAAATATTTGGAACTTCACCTCTTGTTGCTTTTGAAGCCTCTCAATAGCATTCTTTTCACGAGAAATCAAGGCTTCAGACTTTGCTTGATGTGTCTTCTCTAACTCATGGCGCAGCTCAGAGATTTCTTTCTGGGTCTGCACTTTCTCCTCCATTTTAATCTTTGCTATTTCAACTTCTTTAAAATGTTCAAGCTTTTACATAAAGGAGGAAGAGAGGGTTAAATAGGTCCATCTTCAAAAAAGACAATTCCGCCTGAGACAATTCAAAATTTCACCTTGAATTTCCCCTTAGGAAATAATAAATTGATAAAATTAATAGAAATTAATTACCATGACAGAAGTATTTTAGCAGCACATACTACCTGCACATCTCTCAGAGTTTTCATGATTTTACACAAAACTATCAGCTTTAGACAAGAGCAGAACAGAAGACAATGAAGAAAAATGCACTGCTGGAATGATACTCTTCTTGGAATTAAGGAATGGCCACAGTCTTTTACTCCTCCTCTGACAGTTGTCCCTTTCCCAAAGAACCACTTTTGACTAGGGATTCAAGAACTGGCAGAAACAGACCCACACTGAGCTGCTCAGAAACCACAGAAATTCACCTAGACATAAAATGAAGTGCCAGAAATGTAAAAAAATGCAGAACACATAACTTCATCTAAAGAGGGTTACAGAATGAGACTGACTTCTAAGCACAACTAAAAAAAAGTAAGTGCCCATAAACAGGTAAGTACAAATCTTGCAACTGCACAGAAGAATTATTTGGAACATGATTCCATACAGTGTGTGAAGGACAATATATGTGAGAGCAAATGGGATTATAAAGAATTAAGACAAAAATTTGGAAGAAAATGGAAAGGAAGCATACAAGACAAAAATGTGACAAAAAACCGAGCAAAAGAATAAAAAGAAAATTACAGGAAAATTGTGAGACCGGAGAAAATATTAAAGAGTAGAAAAAGCACAGTAGGAATATCTGATCAAGGAATTCAAGTCTGTGGGCATAAATTTTGTGAAAAATTAAAGAAATGGTGAGACAGTACAGCATCACTTGTATATATGCAAATTTGGTTAGAAATGTCTTACAGTAATTCACGTCATGTTGCTAAGGAATTAAGGTAAAGCTAATTGAATTTAGAAGATATTTACACTTGGTTAAGAGTTACAACTTTGTTACAGCTTTGTTACAACTGGTTTGCTTAAATTGATACAAACTTAACAACATATAAATTAACATGTTTAACATACTAAAAAAGAGCCAGTTGGGGAATAAAGACTAAATGAAGAATGAAGGTAAAGGGAAGTTTAACTCTCCACAGTACTACTTGTCTGGCTGAATAAATGATGACTACACTGAGTGCCTTTAAAAGTGTGTGGAAGAATTCTGATTATTAGATTATCATTTTTATATCCCAATAAACTACTGATCTTGACAGAAATTAATGAAAAATATATTGAAATGAAATACAGTTGATTTATTTTTTTCTCTACAAATAAACAGATGATCTTGACAGAAATTTATGGAAAAGAAAAGAAGATGTATTTAAATGAAATGCAGTATATTCCCTCTGCTCCATTTTTCAGACAGAAGGATTATCAAAGGATTATGTGACAAAATTTTAATCTTATTTCTGAAATGAAGGAAAATTCTCTAGAAGGGCTGTCTTCAATTATACAATGAAAAAATATCAGAAATGATTCATAATACTGTCTGTTATGACTTCAGAGTTTCTGTGTAGTGCTTTGAAATAGAATGCAATTCTCATCAGTATTAAAAATTAATTATCTGTCAAGCTACACAACAGCAATTCACACCTCTCAGTTGCTATGCATCATATTGAAATTCAAGCATCAAAATCTTAACTGGGAAGGAAAATTAAAACTGTGGTATAGAGTAAACATTTCTCCATAAAACAAAATAATCAAATAGCAGATAAAATTTACCATATTAAGACAAGCAGAGCAAGTAAATGTGTAACAAATTAATATCAGAATAAAAAGCTTAACATTCTGCGCACATTTTTAAAAAAAGGGGATGACAAATACACGTTATATCATCAAATTAACAGCAGATATTGAATTAATTTAGCCTTTTTTGCTTGTTTTAACTAAGTATTAGTTAAATACTTTTTTTTCAATTTACCTTAAGTATTAAAAGTTTGCAATGTGTAAAGTCAATATTAACAAATGTCTCCCTCAAATTCATAAAACAGAGTTATACCTTTTGATGCATTTCTTCTTGAAGCTGCTTCTCTATTTCTTTTCTATATTCATTAAGTTTTACTTCTAAAGATTCATATTTCTGATGCTGAGGATAGGAGTCTGCAAACTGTTCATCAATCAGCTGAAGCTTCTCGGCTACAAAAAAGCAACACATCCATTGTAATTTAGAAACTCTTCCTGCAGTTACCTCACCAAAGACTGCAGGAACCTCTCCCTGTGCAGGACATTCCTCAGCTTATCCAAGCAGCACTACCATAAAAAGACCTGTGTGACACAAAATCAGAGGCAATACAGAAATGCCATTTATCTGCTTTATATATACATATATATAATCATAACATATACCTAGGAGGAGGCACTTGCCTGTTTAGGCACTATTTGTGGTATTACATATTCATTCTCTTTACCATGAGTGGACAAGAACTTCCTTTTGCATGCAACTTTTAGCTTTTTTGTGTTCATATATTAACAACACCATGCATATTATACATTCAAGAACTCCCAGCCTATGCCTAACTTGCTCACAGAAAGAGGACACACATTTACAGTTCTGTTCTCCAGAACATATTTCAACACACAACATTTACAGTCCATTTGTCATAGGTCTTAGCTAAATGGCCAAAACACACGAGGATTAAAAAAAAAAAAAGTCCCATCCTGATTTTGCCTTAAGAAAATTTAGAAATCCCATGTTCTAATGACAGACATGACCTTTTTTCATTACCACTTTAGGTTGCATTTGAGTAGAGTAACGAAATAACACCATTGATACAGTATATATAAAGCCACACCATATATCAGGATGAAAATACCTGGGGAGATTTACTTGCACAGGTTGCACTTACCAAGAGACTCTCTGTAAGGAGGCACTGAGGTGGTCTGAGTTTCTGTGTTGTGAGTTTCCCTGTTTAGATGATGTTCTGTAAGTCCAATTAAAATTTGCATAAGGAAACCTAGCAAGATCCAATAGATTAGTTAGTTCTGATTTCATACCAAAATGGAATTTAAGCCTCTAATTAACAAAGCAATCCTCAACGTACAAGAAAACCTATTTGATTTACAGAAAGAACAAGTATTTCAGTAAAAATCAATACTGGTAAACAATTATGGCATAATAAAGCATACTCCAGTCCATCTCAATCAGCAAAAGCTGTCCTTTTGCAATTTTTCTTCCCAACCATGTCGACTCCCAAGGAGAGTTGAGAGTGAAGATTAACTATGAGGCCTTTAGGCCACAGGGTTTTTGAAGATCAAGCTCCTTTAGGTTATACAGTATAGCTAGGTTTCATCATGCACATAGAACAGTTTCTTATATAATACAATGGAAAGTCAGTTAAATCTGTAACTAGTTTTTGAAGTATATTCTGCCAAAAACCTGAGTTTTCCAAGTTAGTATCAAAAGCCTCCAAAGAGCTTTATATTTAATACCCGATTACAGATTTTTCTCATATTTCCAATATACAAGTCACTTATTTTGTAAGTGAACGTCAACAGTTAATCCACACCACAAATACGAGTTGGATAATCCTGAAATACAACATTCATCATCTTGGTGTACTGCAAGTTTCAAAATCCAGCTAAATCCATATTACTCCCATACCAACACATGCCCAAAAAATCTGAATTTTCATTGCACACATCTTAACAAAATGAAACTAACACAATTATCCTTGTTTGCATCACTTGTAAACATTTTGTACCTTTATTTTCCTTCCGAGTTCCTGAAGTCTGTAAGAAAATAAAAGAAGTTTTAGCCAGTCTATTTTCACCACCACTGTAATTTAAACTAATTTTCAAAATCAAAATAACTTTACCAGTGATTTGTAAAGATTGGATTTCGGATTGATCCTCATTAATTGAAGAAGATCTTGCATAGTCCACAGCTTTGGGGAAAGAAAGATCAGTTGGAAAAGGTTAAATAATTTAAAATAATTTCAGTTTTGCAACTGGCACTATTTCACAGTTCTAAATGTTTTCCATTTGTAAAAGATCTATTTGCTCCCTGTAAATCATTTTCAGAGGCCTGCTGTTCTACATTTACTTATCTTCAGTACTTCAGACATATGGCAGCCAGCATGTAGCTTCATCATCAGCTGAAGCTGTGAAAAGGGTGTTTTGTTCCCTTCTTATCCTCATCACTTTTCTTGATTTATCATCCAAATCAGATGAGCTCACTAACTCAAATGATGATTAACTACTCACCAGGTCAAAAAATTAATTTTCAGTTAGAAACAACCTCACCCTATCACACACTTACAGAGATACAAAGGGAAGGCAAGGACTGCCCTTTTCAACCACCCTTTGTAGTTAGAACAGCTTGAACTGACCAGGAACCACATTTTCAGTGAATTGAATAGCCAAACAAACTTTTACTAGATTCAGTTCCCAAGTGCTCTGTCATACAGACAGATTGTGACTGTACCTCTCCAGAACAGTGTCATTACCTTATTGCCACTTAAAAGTATTCATGAAAATGACTTTGAATGACAGAATGTTTCATGGTGATGATCAGAAACTATACTTAGCTTTGTATTTCCTATCACAAAAGAAATTATCTTTTCAATTGTTACAATATGACAACCCCCAGAGAACAAAGCTCCTAGACATTGTGGAATAGGCAAAATACTGAACTTACCTTCTTCTTCTCTAACCCACTTTCTGGAAAGAAAACAGAAAGTGAATACTCGTAGCCACATCTCTCTAGATGATCTGCCACCAAACTGTTGGAAGCAGTGATCAAAAGTGAACCATCTTCACTTGGAACCATCTGTGGCTGCAGTTCTCCACTCAAAATTGGGTGCATTAGTTCATGGATTAGCTGGTTTCGGAGCTGTGTCTGATACAGAAAAAAGCCATTGTATTATCAGTTTACATGGGATTAAATGAGTTTTAATTTTTCAAAATCCACAGGGAGCCTCATTTTACTTGTACAACCTACAAACAGAACAGAGCAGACTAATTTTGGCAAAATCTAGAAGTGTGCTATGAACACCCTGCTTTTTTTTCAAAACCCTGTAATGATGGATACAATGAACTCATGGCTTTCCCTCAAAATGTATCAAACGTAGGACTTAAAAAGAAGCTCCCAGTCAAGAGCTCACACAAACACCACTCTTGTACCATCATTTTCAGATCACTGCTTTCCTGTTTTCCTTCCCTTTTGCTTAAATAAAGCCCTCCTGATGGGGCCTCCATTTCAGGTGTTCTTGGAACCCTCACTGGTCCTCTTTTGAGTCTCATATCAAGAAGAAGCTCATGCCACCACAAAAGTAGGGCAAAATAAACAAAAAATTCAATGTCTTTAATATCAATTATTTTGTGGGGATGCAAAAGTTTACTAACCAGAGACCTACAGGCACTAATAATAATTAAATGGCTTTTTTAAATTATTTATTATTATAGTGAGTTACAATAGAGAAAAAAAAGTAACCTAAAATCAGCAGATCTCCCTTCCATGAAAGGAAGAATTATTTTCATTATGCAGTTATACAAATTTTTTACAGAAGATCAAGACATAAATAGTGTTTTAAGCTTTCAACAGCAGGTATGCAACAGTGACACAACTGAATAAAGAGGTGGTGTGTTACCAAAAGTGCAAAAAAATAGCTACCAAAACACAACAATGCCAGATCAGCAGACTAGCCCAATATTTTAGCACGGTTTTCCAGAGAAATTAGGCTGAAAACAAGATTACAGAACTACAGAATATTCTGAGTTCAGTCAAACACAACTGAAAAAACTGTTTTCATTATTAATTTCTGAACTTGTCCAGTTTCGACCAACTTTAAAGTGGTATCTCAAAAACAACCAAGAACAGTGACCTCTTATACGTCTTGTGGAAAAGTGCAGGTGGAAAGCAAAGGGATGAATTCCCATCTCTAATACAGAAAATGAACTGAGAAATAACTTTCTAGACAAAGAAAACAAAGCAAGAATATGGTCTTAAACAGAAAATTACCTGATAGAGTATTAGTTAAGTCAAGCGAGAAATGGTTCAAGCATTGCAAGCTTGGGATGGAAATCAGTAATGCAAAAACAAATTGTACTGAAGAGGAAATTCCTGGCTATAGGATGATCAATGTTACTTTTGAAATACTGATCTCGAGTTTTTTTCCTAAGACATTCTACTGAGTGAGAAGACAGGAACAAAACAGCTCAAATAGTTTTAAAACAGGATTGTAGTATTTTAGAAGTATTATTCATAGAACATGCTTACTTATCATAGTAAATCATCACAACATAGCTTACTTATCACCTGTAACCTAAGAGATCCTTTCCTATTTTATATTCTAATTTATTGTTCTCTCCCCGTTTTTTGGTTTTTTTTTGTTTTTTTTCAAGCATGGGTATTTTCAAACTCCTAATACAGGCTTTTAACCTTCCTGGAAAAAAACTCCGAGGCCAAGCATAATAAAAAGCCATTCTCTTTAGGGAGAACCTCCCATACCGGGGGGGAAAACCCAAACACAACACACCTCCCCCACACCCCCGATACTAATTAGGTTGTGGCAAAAATAATACTTTGTGGAGAGAGTGAAACTTGTACTCGGCATGGCTTTCAGGGCTCTCAATGTTAAAGCAGTACAGCGGATCACAGCTAGCACCTGCTGAAAACAAAGCACACCTTAAGTGTGTCCAGCACGCCTCGGCTCTTAAAAGTCTGATACAGCTTTTTCCGGAGCTCCTCTTGGGACAAGGTCTCCCTTTCAACCGAAGCCATCCTGACCTACAACACCGAAACAAAAAGGGGCATTACGGACTCGCAGCTCGACCCCGCAGCCAGCGAAACGCCGAGCGTTCTCACAGCCCCCGTCTCCCCTCAGCCCGCTCGGGCTTTCCCGGGACAGCCTCCCGCCACCCACGGGAGAGCGCCGGGGCCGGGAGCAGTGCCTGGCAGCGGGGCCGGCCCGGGCAGGGCACAGCGGGGCAGGGCAGNGGGGCGGACGGGGCGCGGCGCAGGGTAGGCGGCGGGCCCGGGCGGGAACCTGCGGGCCCGGGCGGGACCCTTCTCCCTCCCTCCCTGCCTCCTCTCCCCCTGTGCCGCGGGACCCCCTGGGGACGGCAGCCCCGCGGAGTCCGGCCCTTCCCCCGGGGAGGCCTTTCCGGGCAGCTCTGGAGCGCCCGGCGATGGAGCCGAGGGATTGTCCCGCGGCCGCCGTGCGCCAGGGAGGAGGCCCCTGCCGCCCTTCCCCTTTCTGCTGCCTGTGAGCAGGGCCCGCGGCGAGACGGGCGAGGAGCTTCCTCGGAGGCGGGGGCAGCGCCTTACGGCCTGGGATCGCTGTGTCCGGGTGACTGGGGGCTCCCGGGCGGTAAATCATCGGTGGGCAGGGCAGGAATTGGTTTTGGGTACCTCGGTTCACTTCCAGGTCCACTTCCCGAAAATATACTCCGGCTCCCCCAGAATCTGTCAGGTTGGGAGGGAACAGGGGCATCTGGCCCAGCCTGCTTAAGCAGGGTCGTGCTGGAGCACAGGGCACAGGATTGTGTCCAGACAGTTCTGGAACCACTCTAACCTCTCTGGGCAGTCTGTTCCAGTGCTCAGTCACACGCACAGCAAGTAAGTTCTTCCTCGTGTCTGGGTGGAACTAACTAGGCACCAGTTCTCATCCTGGTGGTTGGCTGCACCAAGAGCTGTGCCCCATACTCCTGATGTGCATACCTAAATGTCTGTCTCTTTTTAGTCTCTGGTAAATATGAATGGGAGCACATTGACTGGTTTTTAGGAGCTCTTCTACATGGATTAAGAGTTTTTATATAGACTTATAAGCATTTTTGTCTTGTAAGGAGCGTTGTTTTGAAGAATGTCTGGAAGTTTCTACTTCGTGATAGTTGGTCATCATGATAATCCCGTATTTGAAATGGAATTTCTGCCTCCTGGAAAAGTAGAGTCGAAGGTGTGTTTTTTTTCTCCCTGTGACACTCTTGTGATTCTTTCATAATTTTACAGTGTATTAGAAGCACGACCAGCATGTTGTTGAAAGTAGTAGCTACTGTTTTCTGGGGTTTTTTTTTTAACAGAAATTTTGTAATGGGGAGTAGAACTCTAGATTTCCCAAATATCTTAAAAAATCTTTTCCAGATTATACTAGTTCTTCACAAAACACAGCTTCTGTAAATATTCCCTGCTGTATGTTATAGAATATGTATCTTAGTTTTGCTTTGGCAATTTCTCTTAGTGTGCAAAGGTTTTATAGTAGCTGTTCATTGTTTAATGCTACTTACTTTTAAGACATTTATATACAGTAATAAGGTAAGAAACATAAATTTGAAAGCTGTATTTAGTCCTTTATTTATGCTATGAAATACCTAATTTTTTAAATCATCTTCACTAGTCATACTTGCTTTTAAGTAAGGAAAGCTAAAAACTTATATTGATAAATAAAGACTTTAAAAATGTGAGAAGTGTAATACTACTCAATAAGTAGTGTTTCTAGTGGGAAAAGAACAAATCTATCCATAAGTGGCATTACATCAAAGAAGAAATAGACTTCAGAATAGAAGTGTGTGGATCCATGAGTGTATCCAAAAATGGAAGTATATGCTGGTACTAATTGGAACTGCATGGCATCCTCTCAGTTTTGAAGTAATGTCCCATGAAAGATCATAAATAAGGCTACTCTGACTAGACTTTGTGTGAGGATGCGTAAAAGCTGATTTGAGGGAAAAACTGAGAGGTGAGAGAGGCAGTAACAGCATCCCTTTGCTATGAGAAGCAGTGCAAAACTGCTTATTTATCCAGTCTAATAAAAGCTTCCAGTGTGGTTTTGTCCTGTATCTCTTGGCAGAAGTCCTTTGGTGTTCTAGATTATCTACAAAGTACACGGGCCAAACACTGTGATCACTCTCATGTTTATTATAGGAAGAGGTACAATTTACATCTGCAGGCATATATTTAATACTAGTTGCAGGATGCTTTTCTGCACTAGGTTTTAGAAAAAAGAAGACCCCAAAACCAAGAAAACAATTCTGTTTCTAGGTAAACAACATGAGAAAAACAGAATCTTTAGGTGATTTTATCAGCATATCTGCCCTCTGTATCTGCTTTTATCTGTCACCCAACTTTTACACATTGTAACCTACAGATCAATGACTGAAACTTACTGAAATGTTACAGTCCAGAAAATGCTACATTTTATGTATGATATGTAAATATCACAAAAACAGATGTCTGGAAAGAAGAGAAAAAGACATATGACAGCCTCTGTTGTGGAATAAGTTAGTGGTGGTAGTTTGCCCATCAGTAAACAAAAGAATTCATGCTTGAGTTCATTTCTGGGATGTAGTACAGGCTTTACTGATTTTGTTGCTCTCAGGACTGGTTTTTGATGATCTTTTTATTGTGACCTCTTTTCTCCCTTGAAACCAAATATCATGGCAACATACGCTAGTTTCATTTAATTACAGGATGGCACATGTGACAGAAAAGCAAGGTATATGTAACATTATGTAACTTGAACACTGGTTCTGTAGCAACTTCAGCAAATTATTGTTTATATTTCATTCCTTTCACTGAATTACTAATCTACTGTCTTCTGGAAATGCATTAGGATGATCATCGCCATCTCAACCAGTTCATTGCCCATGCTGCTCTTGACCTCGTAGATGAGAACATGTGGCTTTCTAACAACATGTATTTGAAGACTGTGGACAAGTTTAATGAATGGTTTGTTTCTGCTTTTGTCACAGCTGGACATATCCTTCCCTATTCTCTTTCCTTATATGTATATAAGAAAACCCTTTTCCCAGAAAGAGGTAAGTTAGATAAAGTGAGTTTGGAACAGATTTCTCTTGCTACTCACAATTATTGTTAGAGTCATCTGCTTCAGAAAGAACTGTGTTGGGAGGCACAGCAGCTGGGAACAGCTGGAAAGGTGAATTTTTACCTTTGTAGGAGCCGAAGTAGCATAATGAAATGTGGTACTCCCATGGAGTAAAGAGGTATAAGAGGCTCTGAGCAAGCTTGTATGATTCTCTGTTTCCACCCCTTTGACCATGCTGGAGGGGAGAAGTGGCAGTGAAGATGCGTGGTGTCAGTCACTCCAGTGGTGAAAATGCAGTGTCAAGGCTTGATACTATGTACAGGTAGTCCTAGAACTGTTTGTTGTGAAACATTTGTTACACATACCCAGCAACACTGAATGGCATTTTAACTTTAGGGCTACATGGCAGAGGTGCAGAGAGCATTGTTTAAAAAGAACCACCTTGGATAGAGAGGTGATTATTTTCAAATAGGGGGATGTTAAAATATAAAGGTAATGCTTTCCAAATTTCATTGCTTCAATCACTTCTTTAAATGCTTCCTCCTATGAGTCACTGCTATTTCATGTACAGCTAAACATTTTAGGTATATGTTGAATTAGGTGTAAATGCTTATTTCAGGATAATGTCTCTTTTCTTTGTAAAAGTTTTATTCTCCTTAATTACTGTACATATGAGATTTATAATGCTTCATGATGTAAGGCAAGAAGATGGCATAAAGAACTTCTTTACTGATGTATATGAGTTGTATATAAAGGTAAGAACTCATTTTTTACAGTCTTGCTGCACTACTTCTAAGCATGTTCTGCTGTTTGTGCTCAGGCACAGCTGTATTAATGTGCTTTCTTCTGGGGGCCTGTGTAAGCACCCATGCAGTCCACATCAGCCAGAGCTAGTAATGTATGACACAAAGGCTTAATTCTCCATTAAACAGAATAGATTTTTTTGAAATAGTTATAAGCTGTGCTCTTTTAGACCTCTTCGCTTCAGTGATTTTCTGTAGAATCGAATGATTTGGGTAGGAAGGGACCTAAAAAACCCTCTAGTTACTACTTCCCTGCCATGGGCAGAGACACCTTCCACTAGACCAGATTGGTCAAAGCCCCATCCAGCCTGGCCTTGCACAGCTCCAGGGGTGAGGCATCAACAGCTTCTCTGGGCAACAGGGAACTTGTGGGGCAGCTTCTTGTGATGCATTTTGTGGTAGTATGGTGTCATTAGTGATAATAATGAAAGGACTGTTGTACACAGCCTGGTAGTGTAGCTCTCAGAATACATAGCCCTTGTTCTCCAATCCTGGTGGTACTTCCACTAGATGAGGTTATGGCAAACAGTCATGGGAAGCATCACCATCTCAGCCTCCCATGGGCACTAAATAATTGTAATTTCCAGTGGTGTGATGGGTTTGTTCTGAGGAGCTGGTGCTAGGGGATGGCTCTGCATCATGCACAGGGAGAATGCAAGGGCCTGGAAAGCAAGAACTGTTTAGGAGGTCTGTGCTCTTAGTGGCACTAAATAGGCTGAAAGTTAGTAGTAGATGTCACCTGAAGTAACATTTTTCAGGGCTGGGCATTGTGCTTACTGATGGGTTTTTCTTCTTTCCCCAGTTTGCAATGAATCCATTTTATGAACTCAATACTCCTATTCGATCCACTGCCTTTGAAAGGAAAGTCCAGTTCCTTGGGAAGAAACACCTTTTAAGCTGAATAAATAAATTTTCTGAGTGAGTGCTTTTTCCCTACTTTCCTGATTGAACTGTCCCCTGTATGTTTTATATTCATCTTCTGAAGACTAACTGGATGCTGAAGCAGCTTTCTCTTTTGCCAATATAGATAAGAACACCCAAGCTTCTCTGGTTAAGAATGTGTATCTTAAGAAGTTTCCTTTTATGTGGTATGAAAACCAAGTTTTAAACTGTCAGAGGCTACAGAGGTACAAAAGAAGAAACTGAGACATTATGTGTTGATGCATATGCAAAGTGTAAGCCTCTGACAGAGGGTGGGAGGAAATCAGACCTAAATGCAAAAGATGTCGCCAGTCAGCTGGTTTAATATGAGCAAAAGGGAATTCCTGACTGTTTGGCCTAAGTGCTTAATCTTATAAACTTTCCTACTTGTATTCCTTCAATAGAGAACTCACTCTGCAGACCAACCAGATTAACATTATACTTTGTAGTAGTAAATCAAGCTTCTATTTATTTATATGTAATTGTATGTATATGAAGTGCTCAATAAAAATTGGATAGATCAGAAAAGCTGTCTCCAGTACTTCCAAGAAATTTTGAGGAAAACCCCTAAAGTTTAAAAGTGTATATTTTCAAATTTTCAATGTATTTAGTGCAATACACATTTAGCTGCAGTGTTGCATCAATGAATAAAGTAGACTAGAGCATCCAGATCTGCCCTGACATTAACTCTAATTCACACATGAAAAAACCCAAACTAAATTTACATGTTTAAACCCACGGGTTTTTCCCATTATTTCTGCAACTGCTAAAACTTTGGTTTTGTAAATAAATTTAGAGGAGGATTTTTGAATTATGAAACTGTGTTTGTTGAGGTTTCAGAAAGACATCATTTGGCCTGTCTGGCTCCTTTTCCACTGTAAAATGTTTAGGAACCATTTTGCAAAACTTAACATCATTCCAAACTAGAATGTTTTAAACAGATCATTTAGCATATATGTACCTAATACTTTGCTTGGGTTTACAGTCTTAAGTATTCTGTTCCTTTTTGCAGTAAATCTGTATAAGCTATCTTCTTGTACTTTTTTGAACATGTCTGAAAAGTAATTTCCAAAGGAAGTGGCATGCTGTTCTAAGTATTTTGCATAGTCTGTATAATTAAGGGGACCACATGTGTATGTGCTATAAATGTATTTATATGTGTCAGTCATTATTTCTGCACTTACTACTAAGCTGTCACTGTAAAATGTTCCACAAGAAAAAAGAACATGATAAAGAGGTTGCAATATTTACCTTAAATAAAAGATGGAATGATGTAGTATAGATGCCTGTTGACTACACTTGAAGTGATTTAGAAGAAAACTAGATAACCACAGTAACAGTACCTGATGGGGTGGCCAGTGAAGATGGGAATACTTGTTTTAGCAATGTTATTGCATACAAACTGCATTGTACAGCACTCTGGTAATGTAATTTTATATAAATATTTTTTTTTCTTTTTTCTGTGTACATGGAAATAACAGAAATACACTTAAGGTAAAGCATTCTTGATCATGGTAAGGAGCCACTAAGCTGCAGTTATTTTCTGCCTCCTCCCCTGTAGCATGATGGCTGGAAAAATACCAACAGTTAAAATTCACTGAGGAATAATATACTTGGCAGGAAGAAAAGGCTTGGCAAATATGAACAATTAGTGCTAACAGTTTCTACCACTTTTAGAAGCTACATTTTTTATAATTGCATTTGCTGCTGCAGTAGGACATTAAGTAAAACAAAAGCATTTTCTCTCTTGCCTGATTTCTGAAGTCAAGGTACCTGTTCTTACACCTCCCATGCATCTTTCCCTCTTCCCTGTGAATACAGGAATTGTAGATGAGAAATGTCCTCAGGTCCACCTAGGCTTCATGAAAACAACTGTTACTGGCCACAGGAATGGAAGAATTACATCCTAACTCATCACCTTTGTGACTGAGTTCATGGTTCAGGAGCATTGTCTTGTGACAGAAGTCTGAAGGCCTTGGTGAGGTAGCTCCAAGTTCTCTGTACATGGACAAACACTTGTTTATGCTTTAGTTTGTGACTCTTCAGTCAGCTGAAAGACCACTAGCTGAAGTGATGGATGGAAATTGTCTTGTGGTCAACTGAAGTAACAAATCTGCTCTAGCTGGGAAGGCTGCAGTTCTGGCATGCTTCAGTGAACAGTTTCTCAGTGAAGAGACACCTCCTTTGCAAGGATTATCTTCTACCCTCTCAGGGACTTAAGAGTAAGAATTCAAAACAAAGTCTGTTGCAGTACAAGAAAACAGATAATCTGCATTATGCAATAAAGGCAATAAAAAGTTTATGAGTTAAAGGGACTAGAATTACCCTAAGTCATCAAAAATCAAGCATAAGGAGATGAGAACATTATCACAAGCTAACATGAATCAGCCTTAGTAAGTATGGGCCGGAAATGCAATTCAAACTCCACTTTCTACAAGGTTCTATTACTGTTTAGGTAACCTGTCAGGTTACCTGTACAGTAAGATCCAGGTGAGGTGTGGAGCAGCTGTTAAAGCAGTGTTTGTAAGCATTGATACAGTTTGCTGTGACATGAGCTCAGCTGTCCTAGGTAGCTTCTTCTGCCCCTTTCTATTCTGCTCTCTAACAAGTACAGCTTTCAGCAGTCCCAGCAACCTGCCACAACTGTAGTTTTTCCTCTTTATTTTAAAGGACACCTGGAACCTTGTGTACATGTTACACAGTATGCTGTCAATCCACAGAACTCCAAATACTGCTAACAGGACCCTGTAATACTGGAGGTGTGCTAGCTCTTGAAATAAGTCAGTGAATTTAAACATAAGCCACAAATGCCTACCTTACATCCATATGGAATGATACCTAGCTTTTACAAAGTACAGAAATCAATGTTTGCTATTAAGCATTATGATTTTATACCTGTCACTTACAACTGCTTGTCAGATTTTTGATTCTGTAGGCACTCGGTAGTTTCTCTCTGAGATCAATTCCTGACCTAAACTTAATTTCTATACTGTGTTGTTTTCTACAGCATGTACATGCCTGTTAAGTGTACAGTTGTGGTACAGCAGCACCCAGGGCACAAGTAAAACACTTCTATGGGATAATGTTTTAACTTTATTAAACCTACTACTCAGATGGAGGCTTGGTAACCATGTTAAATGGAAAGGGGAAAGATGAGAAAACACAGATGCCTAGGCACAAGAAAGACCACAGTGGTTCTTAACCTCCATTTTTTCTTTTTAGTAATCTTATCTGAATGGTATCTATAGTATTCTAGTCACAGTATCTTCAGCTCCTATTTTGTTTCAGCCTTAATCTCTGCTAAAATGAATGTTAAAGGAAGCTTTCAGTTGTAAGGTAGAAGTTTTACAACAATTTCATGTCACTAGCTTAGTAGCCCCTAACACAAGCAATCTTAATTTCTAAAGCTTTTTGCTCGCTCATCCTAAGATTAAGAGGGATTTAGCTAAGATTTTCTTCACAGATCTTTTCATTCATTGACTAGAAATTAAATGTAAGTAGCAGTTCAACCTGTATTTAACTGCTCAGTGACTGAAGTTTAAAACACAGTTGTGCTGGCATAGATGCAGGACTGCAAGACTGAATCAGACTTAGGAATGCACAAAAGACAAAAAAATGGCACTTCTAAGCAGAGTAGCAGATATGCAAAGTAAAGTTGTCCTGGACACGTTCAAGCAAGCATAAAATGCATACAGCAAAGTGTATTAAGAGCAACAAGAAGGGTTTGTTTTTGCAAGCTTTACTTCCAAATAATTATACCTGGTACAGATTGATCAGATACGTTTAAGATAAAATGCTTGCTGGTAATGTTCTCTCAAAAAAGGCTTTTCCATTGAAACAAAAAAGTTGTACAGAAATCAGTTGTTTAATTAATAACATGGCCTGTCCTACAGCCTCAGACTTCCTTTCTCAGACCACATGTGTGCCTGTTAGCCCTCAGATTACAGATGGAAGCAATAGTGCAGTAGTAATTTTGCTATTGCAAGGACAGTGGTTACTCCTGAGAACCAATATTGAACAATTTCTCATACAAGTATTCTACCACTTAAACTGCACATGAAAGTCTAAAAAACACCTCTAGTTTTGTCTGCCTGACTGCAAAAGACTGTCCAATAAATACAGAATTTGCTTCTGTTCATCATTATGAAATGAATTCAGTAATATAAAAGACATTCTTAAACGTAGAAGTCCATATCCTAAAATAGCAATTTTAATAAGGATCAAATTCAGCTCAAATACAATGTATAGTTATATATCTGTATTAGGGCTAAAAGCTGTCAAAATCTACTGTAAGTCAAGAGCTTCCTGAGTTCTCTACATATTGCTAATCCTTACTATCACAGTGCAGGTATTACTGGTAAACACATTCATAGCTCAGGTTAACAGGAACAAGAAGTTTTGAGTTTGTAAGGCTGTACACAAGGAGTTTTCCTAAAAAACTGTCACAATGTGGATCCTTTCAAGGGCTATTAAAGCTGATTGAATAAAGCATTTCTTTTTGCTTTATGGTTATACTTCAGTTACTCAGATTTTTCACCTAATTGATCAGAAACATGCTAGAATGGACTTAAGGCAAAGACACATACTAATTTTAAAAATTATCAGTATTCTGGATTAAACCACTGAAAAAGTAGTGCAGCATTAGAATAGTAGATGGGAAAAAATGAACATTACATACATAGGAAATTTATTTCCTACTTATAAACCTTCACAGCTTACAGCAACATCAGGCAATTAGAATACCTGGATGTAATTTATATTAATTTATAATAACCATGTTAGAGATGAAGTACCACTCACAGCAAAAGGAATGTAGTGAGATTGAAGTTTAATATCTAGCATTGTTAAGAAACTGACATCTAACAAAACAAAAGTGGAATGCCGATTTCATAAAAATATACACATATAAAAGTATCTTTGTGCCTGAATTCCAGAACAGCTTCTCCAAAGTAGTGCTTCTAGAACTTTCAAGTTTTAATTATATTCAAAGTATTTATCATTTGAATAAAGTTGGCAAATTACAATCTTTTATTAGTTGTTTTACTCGATGTCTTCTTAAACAGAAAGCATCACTAATTCAGTAACCGGTCACTCATAAATGGAGATTTTCCTTTTTCTCCCCCATGAAAGCAGCAGAATATTATGATTTTTAATATCAGAGTGAAACCCATTTGTTATTCTATCTACTACACCTTCCCCATTCTTTTATAGAGCAAGCTAGTCAACAGTAATTTGGCAAAAAAAAAATTTAAGTCAACAACAAGATGAACTTGGTTTCGGTTTCCGATGAAGGTTTACTGTATCTGTTTGAATAAAGTGATCTGATCTATCTTCAGAGGCTAGAACTCTTCTAACAGCTTCTTCAAAGGCTGCTGCAACGTTAGTGGCATCTTTTGCACTGGTTTCAAAATAGGGATGGTTGCCATTATTCCTGCACCAGTCTTGGGCTTCTTCTGTAGATACTTGCCTTTCATCGATATCAACTTTGTTACCCAGTATCACAAATGGAAAATTTTCAGGCTCCTTGACATCTGCGTAATAAATGAATTCTTTCTTCCAGTTGCTTAAGTTTTGGAAGCTCTGAGAGTCATCCACGCTGAAGGTTAGCAGGCAACAGTCAGAACCTCTATAGAAAGGAGTCCGCAAGCTCCTAAACCGTTCCTGACCTGCTGTGTCCCATATCTGCATTGTAACAAAATGTCCATCAACTTCCAACTCTTTATTTAAGAATTCCACACCTATCGTATGAAACAGCTGTGCATCGAACTTGTTGGTGACGTATCTGTTCATAAGGGAACTCTTCCCAACTCCACCATCTCCTAGCAGTATTACTTTAAGGAGTGATGATTTTGCTGCCATTGTTACTGGAAAAGATCCTCCTGGTTTCCTAGACCTGCAAAGATTAAGGAAATCATTAAAAAGGAAAATAGTTGTGAGCAGAAAATTTTGCATAAATATCTAGAATGTGTTTTGAATTCCACCAACATCAAGTTTCATGTACAAAAACAGGACTCCACTAAACAGGTTAACTGTAGACACACTTCAGTAAGAACATCCACTCAAGAATACCAAATTTAAGAGGTGTCTCTTCTACAGGCTGCAGTCTGCATCTAAGCAGTATGCTGTATAAATTACTGGTCTGTCACTTAAAACTCTTCCAAAAACTTCCAAACTCTTCAAACCACCCCCCTTTGTGCTGAAGGGCTATCACATCACATTCAACAAGCGCTATCATTCAATTATGTTCACTGGAAAAAGTTAATGGAAAAAAGCAGTGAGAAAATTTTATAGAGCATGTGCCTTGCACTAGTCACTTCAGTGCTGTATTTTAGTACCAAAGTTATTTTTTAAACCAATGCACTAGGAACACAGTTATCTATGGAACATGCAAATGCTGTAGTTTTATTTAGACGAGCATCTGATAGTTTATAGTTTACTGCTTGCAGAACAACACTGATGAATGGAATCCTATTAAAACTACCACAAAAGAAAATTTGCTGTTGCTACTTCAAAGATACTCAAAATTCCACATGCCAAGCCCAAAGTGTCATATGCAGTGAACTACGATGTCATTTCAGTCAGAATATATCAACTTCCCAGAGTAAAACTGTCAAAAATTCTGGAAGTGCTAGTGAATATTCTGTCTGCCAGCATGGGGATGGCAAATTAGTGACACCAAAGAAGGCTTTTTAACTGTTAGACTTAAAACAAAATTAAAAAAAAAAATCCTTTAGGACTAAAACAATTTGCTCATTAGTGCTTTGTACCCAACCTTTGCCCTCACAACTGTAGTGTCATCTAATACTGTAAAATGGTTGTTTAATTGCTTGGGAGTAAAGTTTCATTTTAACAAACCCAAACTGAAGTTTCTGTATGAGGAGAACTGTGTTCCTAAACCTGCCTGATAGTTTGGGCTTCAGCCCAAACAGGCTTCTCTGAAAATAGCATCTATTTAAAATGGAAATGGGTCATAAGTTGCCTAGTCCTTCTCTTTCTTTGAAGGAAGGAATGTGGTCTTGCTAGTTTGTAATTAGCATTACTGGCATATACATCACACACAGGGTGGCTGTAGAATTAGTACCTGATACAAGCTGGTGTGAGAGTCATATGACTCTGCTGCCTTACAATCAAGGCCTACAGTAGGAGCAAGAAATTTCAGGAATTTTTTTTATCAGTGACTTTCCATCTTTGAATATTCATTTTCTAGACACAATCTACATGAAAGCAGAAGGAGTAGTCTGAAGCTTCAACACAAAAAAATGTCAAAGGAATTGACTGCTTCCATTAAAAATTTGTTGAGATCAAGTAATTTAGATCATTCACACTGCATAACTAACAACACTTATAAAACCTTAATTCTGTACAGGTTTATACAGTAATAAAACTGCTTAGAAGCTACAAGATAGTTCATTTACCCTTCAGAGAGCCACAGGATAATGGCTATGGCTCAGGTTATGAACACATTTTAGTGCATGTGAGAAGCCTTACTGGAGTCACTGGACTACTTGCATATGAGTTGCAGGTTTATGCTTAACTCTTGAAAACGGTGCAGGGTATTTATTTATTTATGTCTTCAGTTTCTACATCAATAGATAGGAGCTGCTTCTTAATAAAGAATGTTTTTGTGGGAACAGAGGGTACTGAATGTTCTCCTGTTCTTCCATACCAGCACAGGGAACAAGTTACAATTTATTTTTCCAGTCCTGCGGAAGTCAGAAGTTCCCTGAAACACACAATGTGCATAAATAACTGGCTTAAGTAGTTCTGACTGGTACTATGCACTTGTTTCTTCAGCATCTGAATTTTTATCAATGGCAGTTATTATAATGAAATTGTCCACAAGGCCACACTTTAAACAAAATACATGTAAGGAAAGTGTTAACAGTATCTACTACTTTGTGTATCTAGAACCTGCAAAGTTAATTTGCACAATTTCAACTATGTGGGCCATTCCAGCAAGGTTTAAGAGACTGATGACCATAAAATTAGTCTTAGGCAGACAATTATAGACCAACCACAAACTATTAAAAGTGGACTAAACTGGTCCTTTCACACAATAGTTACAGAAAGAGTCTTCTGTAATGTTGCAGGCAATGTTGCTTTTCAGGACATTCAGTTTCCACAGCTGTAATGCTAGGCTAGAAATAAGTTTTTGTAAAGTTTTTAATCCAAAATAATGGAACATATGTTCAGTCATTTAAATAGATGCAGACAAGCTGTATCTGAAGCACCAAAGAAACATGTTTAAAAGTATTAACAAGTATTTTTGTCTGAAAGCAGCAAAGACTTTATACATTTACAGTTTTATTTCTGTACGAGGGACTCATCTGCAGCCGCACTGATAATGTGATTTAGAGTATCTGCTGAACCAGAGTAGTATTTTTCAGAACAGTAGACTGCTGCGTTTTTTTTCTGATTGTACATCTTTAAATAAGATTTTTAAAGAGCTCAATTTTGGTAGTTGTTTTTTCTAAAGTTATGAAGCCTTAACACTCCAATAAATAATACAATGATAATATACTTAAGACACTACAAGAATTAATGTTATTTTTCCTATTATAAAATTTATTTGTATAATATGTGTTTTGACAATGTTTTTGAAAGGGATGGTTAACACAGAATATGATGTTAATTTTTCAGTTTAAATCATTATTCAGCATCTGAAAACAAAAAAATAGCTTAGTTCCTAATGTGCATCTGATTGTTTTACCCAGCATCAGGAATTGCAAGACAGTATAGAATAACAGGTAACTGTTCCAGTTATTTCACAGTGAGCTACACAATTAGTTAATTGTAAAAAAGTAATTGCAAATTTAATTGTAAATGTAAATGGTAAAAGTAATTTCAACCTAGTAGATAAAAAGCCTGTAACAAGAATAATTTTCCCTCATGTTCTTCAATTATTTCAATATTCAAAGAAAGAGCAAATAAATAAAAAGCAGCCCCACTCTGGTTCATTTTGGTAACCATTTCTGAATTGCTTCTCCTAGCTAAGAAGGATTACAGTGCTTACATCACTGACTTCAATATTCCTGTTAAAAGCAGGGAACATTTTCTACTAAATGTAATTTATAACATGATCATATACCATAACACAAAAAAATAAATTAATTGTTGCCTTTCTGGATGTCCCTTTCAAACAGTAAGAATAATTGCAAGTCAAATATTTCCACTATCAGTTCAAATATTTGCTGTCACAATGAAAGACAAAAAGCTAAGCAACCTCAGAAAAATTTTGCATTACAAAATCCAGTCCTGCAAAGCTTAGTGAAATACTATTGCCTTGTCCAATCTATCTGTCTAGATTGTCTTACTTTCATATGTCAGCTTACTTACTATCTGTCTTTATTCTGAGTGCAAATACCTTTCTTGCTCAGTCAACCCTCAAAGAAAAGCAAGATTCTTGATCTAGAAAACCATAGCAGCAACATGTAAACTCAAGTCTAGAAATTTGTCTTTTTTTACTATAAAAATAATTTCATAGATTAAGAAGGACCTGCTCACACCAGTGTACTGAAGGCTGAAGACAATTGCTGAACTCAAGTTCTATAGAAAAACAGCACTAGCCAACACAGTAACTGCATTGTATCTATAATGTCAGCAAGCTGCAAACCCCCACATAAACTATTAAGCAAACCAAAGCAATTGGACCCATTTACAGTTTCATTTTTCACACAATGACACACTGCAGCACACTATAAAAAACCAAACACAAAAAACCACACTGAAACCTCTACTCCCCTTTTTTAACAGGGCACCAAAACCTGGATTTGAACAGAAATTTTGTTTCAGTTATTACTGTCATTCAGTGGTCACTGATGAACTACCTACTATACAAAACCAAGACTAAATCTAAAGGTTTTCTTGAGGATATGTAGCACACTGTTCTTTAACTGAAGCTGTTCAACGTAAAACAGACTCAAGTTTGTTCCCATCATGTAAGTAATCGTGTTTACTTACAGCCAGATATGCTATCAGCTAAGACTTACTGAAAAAAAAAGGCCATCTTTGATTTAAGAAAAAACACTGAAGCTATGGGCAAGCAGAATTAGCAGCTCTACAGTGTTCAGTTTTGAAGCTCAGTCACTATTTTATTTACTAAGCCACCATATTTTGTTAAGACACTGGAATCAGATTAGAAGTTTAAAAAGGCACACCACTGCAAGTATTTTGACTTGCCTTTCAATAGAAATGTAAACTCCCTCCCTCATTAGTAGTTGCTTTTTTTTCACACAAACAAAACATTTGATAATAATTGCCAGGCTAGCAATAGAAAACCGTTTGTTAGTTACAGCAGCCCATCAAAGAATGGCATTAATTGCTTCTCAGTAAAATGTCTGAAAAGAAGTCCCAAGAACTACGAGAGTTGCAGCAGAAAGTGCAGAATCCAAAACTACAGTTTTCAACACTTACTGTTCGTGGAGGTTTTACATTTCTCAGCCCTCAATCACTACAGTGGTTAAACTTGTTGCCTATAGCAGATCTGCAAGTTTCCAAAAATCTGAAAAGAAAAGAAAGGACAGAAGCACATTTTCTCACTTTTCTCCCCTTAGCCAATCATTGCTTTTGTATTTGGGAGGTAGTGGTTTATACCCTGGTCAATTAACTGGCACAAGAAGGCTTTTTTAGTGCCTAAGAGACCACAAGCATGTTTGACCTTGAAAGACTTTTTTTCTCAATTCAAAGGAAAATAATCAGATATGAAGTCAAGATGCTACAGGCTTTGTACTTTTGAATGTGTTACAAGCAGACACAGTAGTCAGCCTCCAAACTGACCCTGCCCTCCCCTCCATGGGGCATTGACGTAAGAGCCCTGGATCAGGAACACCCCTTTACTGACAGTCACTTGTCAGCTGCCTGGAAGCCCTTCAGTCCTACAGCTCGACCTACCAAGGTCCTAATCTCCTTGCAAGTCTTCCTTCCTGTATCTGTGACTTCACCACTGCACTATGAAGACAACCTGTCAGCAAATTATTAAACATCTATCCAAATGAAAACACAGACTATCTGAAATTGCCTCTAGTTGTAAACAGCCTAGACATGCTTGATCTAACACCAGAATATCACTAGAATTTCCTTGTAATTTCTTATATGAACCCAATACAAAATGAACTTGTCATTCAGCTGTTGCCACTCATTTGGAGACCTAAAAAGTTGTATTTGGGAGTTTATTTGTAGGGCTGTTTTTGACTCCTTTGAAGCTCAGGATTCTAGTTCAAGCAGTTGCCTGGCCTGACTCAGGCCTGTGAAAGAACCAGTGGCCAAGGGAAGGAACCCTAAAGTTCACAAAACCCTTGGATCATGAAATCCTTCCAGTACTTACTGCCAGATTCACTTCATTTATTCTAACTTCCAGCTAGACACAAAGTCAATTAGCAAAATTTATCAGGAGAAATACCTACACCTATATCTCTGCCAGTTTAATCTTGCATAAGCCTAACCTTCACCCCCAACCCCATTCCCCAAATTCAAGTAAAATGAGCAAACTTATTTATTTGGATTTAATTAGAGTTGACATTTCTCAGCAGCTCACAGTTAAACATCTTCCAACTTAAATATTCTATTACTTTCAGCCAACTTCAAAACACCCTTCAGTGCTGCTACTCCTGTTCCAACATTGCTAACAATGCCTGAGCTATTTAACATTCTCCTTGCAACCTACTTCTCTATTACTGCTTCCACTCTTTCAATAACTTATCCAGCAATTATTTCTGCCCAAATGTGCTCATCTTTCTCCCCTGCATTAGTTTCCCTTTTCCTTCAGGGAATCTTAGTAACAGCAGCCTCTCTTGGTACAAGGCTACCTTGTACATTCATATTCTTCCCAGTATAACTCTTGTGACCATCCCTAAGGCATTAAGTGGGTTACACTGTACCAGGCCAACACACTTGTCTGCTCTGCTGAGAATGAAAACAAAAACAAAACACAGAGGAGAATGAACAGTATTAAACACAGAAGAGAATGAACACTATTAAAAAAAAAACAACAATCCAAACAAAAAACCCTAAGGACTTCTTACAAGCCTTTTTGCTGTGAAGTTTTTAGTCATTGTGAAACATTTATGTAACATACCAATCCTAAGATCCTGGAAGATCTGTTTCCCATAATTTATTACCAAACTGACACAAAATAAAACAAAGCTTGAAATCTAAATATCTTATTTGACCCTCTGCAATTTTTTTTTCCACATATTTTCAATTTGAGGAAACTGATGATGTTTGAGCACTCCAAAGCAAAACAAGGAGTGCTAGAACAGGGGGTTTTTTTCTGGGTTTTTTTTTTTAATACACACTGTTTCTTTTTAATTTTATAGAAAAGCCTTACTAAAATTAGGACAGCAAAGATAGCTCTATACAACCTGAATGAAGACAGAGAAAGTAAGAGTTCATTATAAATTTGGTGTTGGTATGAGACATAGATATAACTGTACCATCCTTTGGTTAAGTTTCTCTGAAAATAAAAGTGCTAAGAAAAAAAGGTTTTGGATTTATTTTGGGCATGTCTGCTCTCCCTCCAGCATGCCATTAGAGCTTGTTACCTTCAAAGCTACTAAAAGTCATGGAAAAACACTTTGAAAAAACAGAAAACAATCCCAAAAACTCCTAGTCACACACAGCCACCCTTGCTCTAAAAAAAGCAAGCACTGACAACTTCAGTGTTGCACAACACTTTAAAAGTAAAGGCAAATAAAACCCACATGCTTATTTAGTGTAGCTGTAAATTACTGTGGACAAGAAGGAAAACAACACGTAGGATGGAAGGCTGCATGACAGTTACCTGAAGACAAGCATTTCAATTCCTGAACAAAACCCAGCCAGGAAGTTCCCTACTTGACTGTCCCACCCCTGTTAATACAACTTAAATGTTCTCTATATATCTAGTTACAGGTAATCTTGTTATAAAGTCCACTAAAGGAGGTTTTAAAACTATTTTTCTTGCACCATTCTGTTATCCACTCAGTTGTTTTGTACAAGTTATATGTAACACGGATTTACTTACACGGAGAGCAGCCCATTAAGCACCCAGACGTAAGCGATTCCCAGTTCTGGCCCATCCCTATCCCTGCCCTCCCCAGCCACGGCCACACCTGAGCCCGCAGAGCCACCTGCTGCCACTGGGAACTCCCCCGGGCCTGCACAGGGGCTGGGCCGAGTCACTGCTTCAATAAAGAAGAACTGAAACCCAAAGGCGCGCTGAGCAGGCGGCCCCTATCCAGAACAGAGTCCATTAGGTTGGAAGGGACCTCCGAGACCACGGAGACCAGCCTCTGGCCGACAGCACCCTGTGAACCAGCCCACGGCACTGAGCGCCACGTCCAGCCTGTCCTTAAACACCTCCGGGGACGGTGACTCCACCGCCTCCCTGCGCAGCCCGCTCCGAGCACACAGAGCGAGAAAAGGAGCTACAAGGAGCTGGAATACTTCTGCTCCCAATCTGAAACATGTTGAGGACACCGGCACGAAGCTGAGTTGCACCCTGGCAGACCAGCGAACTCTCTCAGACGTGAGGAAGCACCGCGGGGTCGGCGACCGGCCAGGCGCCGGCTGGAGCCGCTTCCCAAAGGAGCCGCCGCCTGCCCCGGAGTCACGGGATCGCGGATCACGCCACATTC